TTGTGGCCCAGAACCTCATGACATGTTGAAGTGGTCGCCTCTTTTATCCTTCTCCAGTTGCTTTCCATAGTACTTCCCTCTCCATTGAGTGAATCGTGAAAGGCCTGGAACTTGTTGCTGAGGACTATCTTGAATTTGTTGAGTTTGTCAGTATCCTGAAGAAAAGCTGTAGTAAACGTTTGTGATGTTGTCCGCCTCGTTGTTCGGTGGTTCTTGAGTTTCAACATTATCTTGGTGACCAGCAAGTGATGATATGATGCTTTATCAGCTCCTCTCTTGGTTTCGTATCCTCCATCGTCCTCCTAAGCTTTTTGTTGATGCAGATATGGTCGATTTGGTTTTGTGTAGTATGATCCGGTGAAGTCCATGTGGTTTTTTGTATGCGTTTGTGTGGGAATATGGTGCCGCCTATGACCAGTTTATTGAAGGCACATTGGTTTGCAAATCTCTCCCCAGTTTCGTTCCTTCCTCCTAGTTCATGTCGTCCCATGATGTCTTCATATCCGGTGTTTTCCATTCCAAACTTGGCATTTAGTTCTATTATGATAATGATCAAGTCCCTTGTTGGGCACTTCTCGACAATTAACTGCAGCCTATCATAGAATTGGTCTTTAACGTCTTCATTGTAGTCGTTGGTAGGCGTATAGCATTGGATGAAGTTCATTGAGATGCACTCTTTGTTTGTTTTGGAGGAAGCTTAAATGATCCTTGATCCATGAGATTCTCATCCTGCAAGTGCATTTTGTGCTTGTTTGTATAGCATCAATACAACTCCTTGTGTATGTGGAGCTTTTCTTCTTCATGGCAGGAGTATACTAGAAGCTCTCTTGAAGCTAGTTGTTGTTGTCCAACTTGCGTCCAATGTGATTCACTGATCCCAAGCTTCTCTAGGTTGTATCTCCTCATTTCTACAGAAATTCGGAAGAATCTCCTGGTCTCCCAAATTGTACGAGTAGTCCATGTACCTAAATAAATGGTTCCTTTGGTTGCCAGAAAAGGAATCAGCCCCATGGATTCCGAAGGAACACGGCTTTCATCATGAGGCGTCATAACTTTTCTAAACGAAGACCTTCTGGTTCCCAGGGCGGAGTTTAAGTGATTTGAATAATTTTTGCTGGTTGGAGTTTGTCTGACGAGTTAGTTTTCTTTCGAATGGGGTCGCTAACTCCATGTCCAACCCTCCTCCTTTATCTCGGCTTGGGAAAGGTAGTAGCCACAGAGGGGTTCCAGGCGGAGTTTAGCAAAGAATAACATAATACTTGTATGATTCAGCTTATAGGCGTATCTTTGGTGTTTCACAGCTAAATACACCAATTAATTGTGGTACTTACTACTTTAGTTGATTGGGACTGTATATTAACTAAACCGTATCCTTTTCTTAACAAAGAGAACCACTACCGACATGTTACAGTTGTGTGTCAAAATACGGCGTTATTGATATTATAGACTTCCACAAATCGCAATTTTAAATTTGTACAAGGTCATTTAGTTAAAACAAATCGAGGCACAACATTTAGACAAAATGTCGGTCAAGTTGAAGGCAGTAAGGTCATGCTAAAGAAACGAGGACTTGGCTGGACAATTACCTGGGAATTCGATAACATCGGTAAACACTAATGCTATTAGACGAAATAGATTTTACAAATTATATTTCCCGCTTGGTTTTAGATGACATCAATGCATGTACAGGGCATTTAGAAGCACTACTTTAGCTGTAACTGGGGGATAATGCTTGGACTCCCTTTATTATCTACCATATAGTTACTCGTGGGATATAGGTTGCAACAAGGGTTTTGTGGTGCCGTAAGCTGACTCCAGTTAGATCGTATGATGAATGCTATTGAACCATACATCCCGGTTACCCTTGTGCGTAATTATTGACTTAATTCTCGTTAGAAAATAACGGGATAAATCAAATGCAAGAATGGATTTTAAATCAGTATATTTAGATTAGGATGAGGAGCGATCGCATGAGATTAGGTAATCAAACCAATTCTGATAGCCATCCAACCCCATAAATCCATGGTTCTACAAACTTACAGGGTAAATCTAAGAGCCTTATTACATTTAGCTGTGATACCTTCAACTTGAGGTTACTGAGTTTCAAATGACTTGACCATGTCTAGCTTCTAAAGAAGCAACCACGAAAACAAAGGGAATTAAGTACTGCTCAAAAATAATTGACCACATAAACATTTTCATCGTCACGAACGACATTCATAGAGCATTAGAACCATTTTACGACAGTCTGTACGAGATGTAGGGAGCGCCAAGACAGTTATTACCAATAAATCAACTAAATTTATTACTTCATCAACGACTGGGTAAAAGTGGCTTTGCACGATCGCAGTGCAGAAATGGAGTAAATAAATTTATTCTTCCACAATTAATTGCCCAACATAACCACCTGGAAGCATTATTCACACAGACCCCAGAGATACTGTCGTCACAAAGGTTTCTATACAAATGAGATTTCTAATTGCTTCATATTCCATACATAAAAACCCAGGTAATCATTTAATGTTCATTAGTTAGTAGATGTTACTTTAACTCCACTGTTTTAAATCTAGCATCCCTCCCTATGGTCCTGAAGACACTAATCTTGGGATTACTATGATTTTGTGAATAGGTGATATAAAGAGATAACTTGGTTTGTATCTCATCGCTTGAAGACCGATTTGCTTTGAATTTCTTATAAGAGCGTGAGTTCCATCTACAACTTAGGTTTACCATTATGTCTACGTATGAAATAATAAAGATTTCACTGCACGTTCTTGTATAGAAGAGAATATTCAAAATCTCATCATTTGGCAATCTAAAATCAGTCTTTAATCAGGAAGAATATATTCACAGTATTCATTCTTCGAATTGTTTAGCATACCATATCCAAGTTCGTGGAGTTAATTTACTCAAAAATGAAACTGAAGCATTCATGAATTGTCACTGTAAACAAATGACGTTTCATAAGAATATGTAGTCATTTCACATGGAATATCCGTCTCACAGCTATGAACAGATACTTTCAGATGGTAACTGAAAATTTTATCTTTCGCGTGAACACAATTGCTGTTCTAGGATGAGAAAGCCGCTTTCAAAAATGCTCCGTTGGTGTCCCATATAAATCATTATCCAATCATACGCTTCACTACATGTACTGACGTATTAAAAACATCCGTCGAGCTAGTTTTAGAACAGCAGGTGAACGGTAATACCACACAAGTAACATTTCGCTCGGAAAGGTAAGACTCAACGGGAACAAAACGTAGTACAGTAATACAAGAGTGTCTGCCTACTTTTTGACAAGCATTCCAACCACCTACTACAAGATCTTGGGTACACTGGTTTGTTTGGTTGCAAGTCGTTGTACTATTTATTCAACAGTTCATCTTAACAGAACTCATCAAGTAGAACTAGACAGTTTGACCGTACATAGCAGCTTAATTGGCACACACTTAAAAAAAGAGTACAAATGTAAAGATGAATAAGTTGTTAGAAGTGATTGCGTATAATCCATCAAACCAATTAATACTCATCATGCAGGATTTATACAATTCACTCAAAACCATACTTAGTCTATTATCTTATGTTATATCTAGGACTTAAATTTTTGTCATACCGCGTACAACTTGAGCACTGGAACGCTTGAACCCTCCAAGTCGCAATTTTGAAGACATAAGACGAGAGGAGAGGAATCTTATTCTAACCAGTGTCAAATATCGTACATAACACTCAGGTATTGATACTTTTAAGTAAAAACAGAATCATCATTACAATAATCCAATTTGCATGCAGTAGCTTTTAGTATTTGTCCACTTGACAAGCTACATACCAGAATTCTGGGACGTTTTTCCAAACGACGATTGGATGGAATGACTTCGGCTCTTTTAGAGCCTCCTTGAGTTCACTGAGAGACATCCTCACGCCTCATAAGTGGCCAGCACGGAAAAGCTCGAAATGACAAAAGCCAGAAAATAATCGACATCTACTATAGAGTAACTATAATAATAATTTACTCACTGTAAGTAATAATCCATCCTATCCCATCTCTTTCCATTCAAACAGCAACATAGGAACTAATTATTTTATTGATGATTAATCATCTGTTAGTTGTAAAAGTAGCAATGTTCGAAATCGTGTCATCAATCTACGTAGTAGTAGCAGTAGCATTAAATATCAAGGACTTATACATCAATTAAGAGAACGAAATATCATTAGTTCAACTAATAAGCAATAACAACACTCGGCTCCACACCCTTCACCCATTCTAAGAGAAGAGACCTACGTTGGCTATCTACTATAAACCCATAAGATAAGAAAAGACCGTAAAAACTTTAATTATTCAGTCATTATTACTAATTACTTAGTATTATGCTGTCTTTCGATAAAATAAGGCTATAAGCATATGACAAGAAACATCAAAATAAAATGTTCCGCTCCTGTTAATTTTCTTGATTTATCCACATTAATAAAATAAATGATTGTATTGAACATGAAAAAACTAGGCAAAATGTACAAGGTAACAGAATTTTCTATAAATAATCAAATGCGATTTTCCGTTTTTTACTTTAAAAAAAACCTGTCTAAACGATCAGACGAATGAAACAAAACTTCTAAAAAAAAGAAAAAGTCACTTAACAATTCATACTATGCACTCGATCATAACGACAACTCTCATTTCACCAATCTCCGCAACGAAATAAATAAATAATTAGCATCCATGTGTTTGTGACCGAAATCTTATATATGAAATACTCTTAGCTTGTATACAGAAATTAAGACGAAAGTGTACTTAGAGAACCACATAAAAAAATGTTAACTAATATCAAAGTCGATCTATCTTACACACTAAATGATTATACGATACTAAGAACAAATTACCAGTCTGCTGACCTTTAACTCCTGAACACAGTGGGGTTGATACATAACCTCCAACTTTTGAGGGTTGCAGTTCAGGATCTTTGGTACTGTCTGCACTAAGACCCAACTGACTTCTTTGAGATCTGGAATGGACGGCTGATTTAATATTCGTTCGTATGATATTATGATAAAAAGTGTGAAAAGTTTATTTTTAAATACTAATGAACAGTGAACAAAGATAACATTTTCTGCTCTTCAGTTGCGTAAAAGATGGAGAAATCAAGTCTTAGTCGGAAAATTTATTAGATAAGCGAAAAAATTAGTTAGTTATTCAGTTGTTGCATATACATTTATTGGCAACGACTTTGTAAAAAAATTAATAAAGTCGTTTACCAAAATCTGCAGTCTAAAAACCAGAGACTACATTGAACAGCAGAAAGTAATTAACGGCATGTAGCGCGTGTAGGTTTGGAGGCTAAAAATTAGTTTGATATTGTGCAAAATAAATTACAATAATGGTATCACGAGTGGTTTTTAGCGAAATGGACATCCTCATCAATCAGGAATTAGACAAATCGGTTTAAAAATTATCGCATGCACCTATATATTTTTCAGGGAGAAAATAATACATAGAATAACAATGAATATTTGAATACTCTCCAAAATAATAAAGAATCGATAAATACAGTGTACATTAACCAGCATTCCCCTACTACTATGTTAATAAGTTTATATCTCTCAGAAATTCTTTTTGATCTCATACCTTTTGAGTTGAATACATTTCACTGAAAAAACAAAAACACTCACAATTAATGAAGGGACATTGTCTAGGTAAATTAGTTCTACCAACTGAGTTAAACCATGTGGAAACATGATGTACATGTCCACCATGACTACATAGTGGACACACTAACACAAGTCCTTTGCAGCTATTTCGGCATACAGTACAAATTAACAATCTCTGCGGTTTCTGAGGGCCTGTAGTAGATTGCTGATTCTCCAAATTCACCTCCCATTGACAATGTGTACACTGTGCAGACTTAAGAGATCCATTGGAGTGTTTAGGAACTAAGTTAGAACTGCATCTCATGTCTGGACATGAAAGTAGAATCATAGCATTTGTTTGAACGTAAGGCCATATGTGGGTAAATGAATTTGTACGAATATTGTACGACCAAGATCGAAGAAGATGAGCGTGTAAAATGTATTCGCGTAGAGAGTAAATAATGCTAGCGTAAACATAAATGTAGTGATCGAATGAAAACAAATCCTTTGGATGCACAAATCTAAAACATACAAGGATTAGGGAAATAATAATTAAATATTTACTAGCTCAAAGATAAAATAATATTGAATTTCAAAGAAGTGAAATGTGTTTAATATAAATAAAAAACCGTATCTCTAAAGTTTGATGAATTTATCATGATAAAGTAAGCTACCTCAAGATTGAAGAAACTCAGTAGTTATAATGTTGATTGCATTGGATTAAATCAAAAGGAATTTATAAACGGTCTAAAAAGTAAATTATACTGATAAATATCACGAAATTTAGAGCTGATGATGACAGACATATCATACTACAGCATAAAGACGGTATCATCAGCCAAGTAGGTTGAGGATGTAATGATTTTGTATACGTCTATGTGGATTTATCCTTAATCAAACATATAACAATGGTAATAATAATAACACTCCAGACAACATTTTTATCATCTTAATAATTCTATGCTTCTCAGAAATAATTAAACGTGTCCTCGTTAATTATATTAACCGAATTGTATATCTTTATATATGAGCTGTCTGTAAGTCTGTACATACTTACTTATCTGATAATCCAAATAACGCACATTTACTGTTCTTACTGTATGATTGCTTCTACGAACGCACCAAATATATGTATCTCAAGCACACTCGTTTTTCAATTTCTAGCGTCGCGTAGTTATAAACATGTTGAGTCTAAGAATATATCCGAAAAAACACAAAGGGCGGAAAATCCAAGAAGTGATACAGATCTAGGAAGTCATTGGCTTTCGTTTTGACTCCACTGAAATTCTTGGCGATATCATTCCGCTTTACTGAAACGACTTAGCGAAATGGCAAAATTTGTGACAAATCCTAGATTTGATGTCTGACTGATTTCCGTTACAATCACATGTACTCAAAAAATCCAGCTGAAGGAGAAAATGACTCATGTCAAGTACCAAATCAATAGGAAAGTCCAATTCTTTAATACAAGGTGGATTGATAGAGGATCATAAGGAAAACTTTGAGGAAAAAATAGCAAGCATAATACCATTATGTTTAATCTACAAGAACAAACAACCTTGATTGATAAGCACAAATTGAATTGATCGATAATTCCTTTGGAGGAAGTTGTTCTATTGGACAACCGTTCATATTTTCGTTTGACTGGCCAGATACCAAACTAAATTCACTCTGTGTTTCATCAGAGTTATCTAAGGTAAATGACACTTGTTGTTCTAATGAAGAACTGGCAACTGTATTGCATCCTAAAAGATTTATTGTCTTTTCTGACTCATTCATGTGATATAATGAATATGTCTCCAAAAAGTTGTTCACAGATGACAGTGAAGTAATAGCTAGTATAAAAAGTAACATTTTCCTATCAGATTATATCAAATAACCATTAAAATAAAAATATTGTTTGAGTGTACAAATGACTTGATAATGATGTTCGATTAATTAAAGATCCATAAGTTACTGTTCATAGAGTGATAGGTGAAGAGGGACATTTTATTTAATTTTGGCTTACAAAGTTCGCAAATCATAAATAAAAACAAGAGCACACCCATTGGCTAACAATGAAAATGGTATAACTTCTCATCAGGGATACGCACCCAGATATAGAAAGGTATTTAACATGTATAGTTTGTCTCAGACAATCACTAAATATTACTTATGAAAACCATTAAATGTGTTGACACAAGAGGGTTATTTCATGGATCTGCTGAAGCTAAAGTGATAGATGCATTGAAATTTATTCACTGAAAACGGATATTTGGCTGAATAGCTCGTTAGTATATTGATATATGTAACAGACTAACATTGTCATCAATTATATTGCTGAAACAATCGGTATACTCTGTTGAGGAAAATTACATGAAAAGTGGTAAGAAGAAAAGGAGCTGATATGAAACTACTAGTAACTGCATTGCAACAAATCGTACTACGGACTAGACAAGGCAATGACCAGCATCAACTTTAGTGTTGAACAAAAACACAGAGATAATATAATTTTGTCGCATTACTGACGCTCGTTTTGAGGTTCTTTAAAATATGTAAAGAAATAATATGTACAACAAATGCTAGTTTTATATTTGTGGATTAAACTTCCCAAGCAAATGCCTCTTTGACTTTGGGGTTATTTAATTCTAGTCTACCCGATTTCTTCATTAATCAAATAAGTTCTAGTTAACATGTATGAGAAGCCTAGAATTATTGTTAGTCAATGCAATTTCAGTATCACTGGAGTACCATCCAAATGTTATTAGTATTTCTATTATCAGATTATTAGATTTAACAGTTACCTAGACCATTCCTCTTAAAACGTCTGTAGGATCTACCTCTACAAAATATCCCAGTAATATCGGCATAAAACTGCACAACTTACTGTTCTCGAGTTTATTTAGTGAAATATTTGAGTCATCAACTTTGTCGAACTGAAAAAAATAAAAGTGTTTAATTGATTATAATGAAGGAATCATCAAATATTGTAGAGCATTTAAATATAGTAACTCGTATTAGTTATCGACAGTTTTGATAAATATTAGTGCGAAATATTAAAATGATTGGATTAATGAACACAAAAACACTCTAATTTTTTGCTTTTCGATTCAAAATGTTATTGATTAAAAAACTAAGAGAAATTAGCGATGAAAAACCTTTTTGATTGATATTTTACGATTTAGGAACTTACTGATAAACTCCATAGATATGTTAAAACCTATGATAGCATATTTTATTCCCTTATAGTAGATGTGCTTAGCCGTTGCACATATAAACCAAAACAATTATTAATAATATTCAGATCAAACAGTGTTTTTCTTTCACTGCTATCTTTGAAAGTATATTTTTGAATGCCTAATTTACGTTTTGATACATCAGTTCTCAACATATTAAACATAAAATGCAGAATTAATGTAAGTATGCGAACAAGCTCTTGATGTGATCATATCTGGCGAAGGCCAGATAACCGTCTATCAATAAAAGGACGAGTATACTGTGCAGCAGTTCGTTCTGTTTTAATTTACAGCTGCGAAACGTGACCATTAAGAGTGGAAGATACTCGTAAGATACTTGTATTTGATCCCAGATGTTTTAGAAATATTGCTCGCAACTGCTAGGATCACCGGGTAAACAATACTGAGGTTAGGCGCAGGGTATTAGGGAATGATGGTAAATCATTTGATGAGGTTGGAAATCTTCATCGACTGAGATTGTTGGACCACGTGTTACGTATGCCTAAACACCGATTACCACGACGTGCAATGCTAACCGGTGTTTAGGATGGTTGGAAGAAAGTTAGGGGCGGCCAAACCAAAACGTGGCGTCAGTCATTGAAAGCATTCACTTCCGGTCTGAGTCATGTCGGTAGATGCACAATACTTTGTTGTGTCCGCGTGACTAACGTAACCAATAGTTGGAGACTCTGGATAACATGGCTCAAAATCAATCACAGTGGAGTAGGTGTATACACTCTCTGTCTTCCCTTAAACCGTGAGACTAAAATCCCTTTCTGTCTTTCTTTCTTTCTACCAACTAATTCTTTTTCCTGTACTATATCCTTATATGCAATCTTTCTTTCATATATTGCTAACATTGAAGTGACTACTATGAATTCGGTGTTCATCTTGTTGTGCTAATGAGGTATGGCAAGTTGGACCGATGCATATATATGCCTGGTCCTACATTGTAGCTGACTGACTGAATTGAACAAGGAGAAACACCATGACACCAACCCACCTAGATTAGTAGTTACATTGTAAGCTTAGCTGATTCAAATTCACGATTAGCAGTAATCACTTGATAACGTTAAACTTATTGATATTATGCAATGGTTACATGCAAAGAAATTTAATCTTATAATCTATACATTTTACAAATACTCTGTAAAACAACTTCCTTAAACGTTTAATAAAAGTTATAGCAATAATAATATTAATATAAACAACAAATGTTGAATAAGGATAATATATAACTGAAAACTTCTATCTCACTATTCTGGTGAAGAAAACCAAACAAACAGAAGGGTTACAACATGACGAGATATTATTCGTTAGTTCAAGTTACATCAAAACTATTTTTTTTTACATAGTAACTACAAAATTTTACAAATTTAGCGTATTTTTTTTCACTATAAGAACAGAAAGCATTAAAGATACCAATTAATAAAATCAGATAAAAATGCAAAGAAAAAGCAATGACATTAAATTGGACAGGCTTATTCAATATTCTAAAAAATGAACAAAACAATACAATTTATTAAGCCATAAATAGCAATGGTAATTAATGTTCATAACATGAAAATTAAATAACATAGTAATCAATGACTTAATAGTGAATAGAATTTTTCTTTAAAAAAATCTTACTTTCAGTTCATTGATATGATTTAAACTTTGAAGTACAAGAACCAACATTGCCAAGCTTTGAACATCATGTATACGAAGGAAATGTCGAATCCTGTATTGAACAATGAACGTTTTTTTAAAAGTGACAACAATAATTTATGAAAATCACAACAACAAGAAAAAAACAACAAATAGAAACAACTGAAAATAAGAATAATTTGATTCATATAGAAAAATAGTAAGTTCTGATTATAGACAGTAATCATAAATTTTTACAAAGTACATTTCATTCTAAGAATCCATTTGGCTTGGTAAATCAATATTAAGTAATAATTAAAAAGTTACAATACAAAAGAAATGACTATTGTCAGTTAGTAGCTTATAAATGATATTTCGCCGTTTAAGTTCAGGTTGGAGAAGAGTGAAAAGTGACATCAATAATTTTCAAATACAAATAGCCAATAAAGTATTTCGCCACTATGAAATTGTATGTCGTCAAAATATAATGTAGGCCGAATTCATTCATTCAAAGAAAGAAAGAACAAGAAGACAGCAATTAACAACAGCCGAACACGAGCAGAGAAAGTCCATGAACAAGCTGAATACATAGAAGCAAACAAACAAGTGAAGAAGAGCATTAGAGCCAACAAGAAGAAGTACGTGGAAGAACTAGCAACGACGGCGGAAAAAGCTGCAAGAGAAGGAAATATGAAACAGCTTTACGATACAATGAAGAAACTAGCAGGGAAATACGAAAAAACAAGAGAGATCGGTCAAAGACAAAGAAGGCAGGCCAATCACTGAAATTCAACAACAGCGGAACAGATGGGTAGAATACTTCGAGGAACTCCTGAATAGGCCGGCTCCAATGAATCCACCGGACATCGAAGCGGCACACACAGATCTCCCCATAGACGTCAACCCACCAACGACGGAAGAAATCAGAATGGCCGTCAGACAAATCAAGAACGGGAAAGCAGCGGGACCGGACAACATACCAGCTGAAGCACTGAAGTCAGACATCGAAGTAACTACAAACATGCTTCACATTTTATTGAAGATTTGGGAGGGGGAATAGTGCCGATGGACTGGAAAGAAGGACACCTCGTCAAGATTCCAAAGAAAGGAGATCTGAGCAAATATGAAAACTACAGAGGCATTACACTATTGTCTGTAAAAGAGAAAGTTTTTAACAGAGTGTTGCTGAACCGGATGAAAGATGCAGTAGACGCCCAACTTCGAGATCAACAAGCTGGATTCCGTAAAGATTGGTCGTGCACAGACCGAATCGCGACACTACGGGTCATCGTCGAACAATCATTGAGTGGAACTCATCACTGTACATGAAGTTCATTGATTATGAAAAAGCATTTGACAGTGTAGATAGGAGAACGTCAAGGCAGTTCCACTGTACGGAGCTGAAACATGGAGAACCACAACAACCACTGTCAAGTAGGTACACGTATTTATAAATAGCTGTCTACACAAGATACTCAACATCCATTGGCCGAATACCATCAGCAATAGCCTTCTGTGGGAGAGAACAAACCAACTTCCAGCTGAAGAAGAAATTAGGAAAAGACGATGGAAATCGATAGGACATACATTACGCAAACGTCAAACTGCATCACGAGGCAAGCTGTAACTTGGAATCCTGAAGCGAAGCGGAAAGGAGGAAGGCCAAAGAACACATTACGTCGGGAAATCGAAGCAGATATGAAAAGGATGAATAACAACTGGAAGAAGCTGGAAAGGATTGCCCAGGACAGAGTTGGATGGAGAATGCTGGTGAGCGGCCTATGCTCCTCGACGAGGAGTAACAGGCGTAAGTAAGTAAGTAAGAATTCATTCATTCATTAAGTGAGTCAGTCAGCTATAACGTAGGACCAGGCACATATATGCATCGGTCCAATTTGCCATACCTCATTAGCACAACAAGATGAACACCGAATTCATAGTAGTCACTTCAATGTTAGCAATATATGAAAGAAAGATTGCATATAAGGATATAGTACAGGAAAAAGAATTAGTTGGTAGAAAGAAAGAAAGACAGAAAGGGATTTTAGTCTCACGGTTTAAGGGAAGACAGAGAGTGTATACACCTACTCCACTGTGATTGATTTTGAGCCATGTTATCCAGAGTCTCCAACTATTGGTTACGTTAGTCACGCGGACACAACAAAGTATTGTGCATCTACCGACATGACTCAGACCGGAAGTGAATGCCTTCAATGACTGATGCCATGTTCTGCTCTGGCTGCTCCTAACTTTTTTCCAACCATCTTCAACACTAGTCAACATTTCGCGTCGTGGTAATCGGTGTTCATTAATATAGACATAAAGAAAAAGATGGTATTGTACGAGATATGAAAAGAAATTAAGCGACATCATAAACAAGCTTCACAATACTACTTATTTAAATGAAATTATTTAGGTGAAAGTCCTTCTTCACTTTGCCTCATAGTTCTTTTAGGTCTTTCGTCTGTATCTGGAAACAACAGTTGTAAAATATACAAGATGATTCCATCGTATTTCATTAAGTTACCGTAATTCTGTTATCATAAAGAAGTTTGATTAGATTGAGAAATGGTCCATTTTCTTTGATAACAATTGTGTTTCCATAAGGCATAATTTCTAGTTTTTCTCGATAATATATCGCAAACCCATTCTTATCAAAGTGATGCATAATGCAACACGTTAACAACTAAGTACATAGTAAGTATTATCTAACGAAATTTAATAAATGGGAATAATGATTCTTAGTTATTATAATCTAAACCTTATTTACTACCAAAAGTAAGTACACACAGTTTTTATTCCTTTATCTTCAAGAGTGGCACACAATTATTGTCATTAGATATGGCTTTTAAGTCAGAAATTTACTACATTTTAGATAATCACTAGAATCAATCAACTCATTTAGTGTCCAAACTCTGCGTTGCTTGTCTTTAAAGATTCAAATCAATAAACGGGGATTTTTTAAATTATCATAAGTATCTCTAAAATTATTGAAAACTACTTACCATGTATCAAATAACGGTCTACCAATTAATTGTGAAGCTAAAGGTTGATAAACTTGGTGAGAATGATCTGTGTGACTAAGTGAGATCGACATAACTAGAGCATATTGCCAGAACTAAGTTAAATGATGATAAAAATAAAGAAAACAGTAACATGCAAAATAAAATCTACGTAAATAAGACAAATAAATATATAAACTAAAGGAATCCTTTGAGTGTATTCAAATGGTGGCTAGAAGTGAAATACGGGATACAATCTCATCTTACTTGGGATTCATCAGCTAGATGCCCCCTGTTATTCACACGGAGACTCTAAACTAACACCTAACAATCCTTCAAACGGCTTCCAAATAGGATGAAACACGTGCCTTTGATTCCACTGTTAACCACAATAAGATTACACTGAAAAACTATAGTTAATGAGCAGTATTGAGGCACTCGTTTATGGTAGATCTTTATGGTTAAAAATTGATCATTCTTAGTCCTGAAAATATTAACTATCACTAAGAAAAATTAATGTTTTAAGAAATAAAAAAACGGGTGTAATTTTAAAACCAATACCTTTTCTTATTAAAAATTTACTAACGATTAAGTATATCTACAGTCTGTACTCGTTAGAGATTGATTTCAGTTGTGTTACCATCAAAAAACCAATGGCGTTGGACTGCTGTTTCGACCTAGTAAGGGACGTCTCAGAAGTGAGCAACCACGAACCCTCCATCTATCGAACCTAGAACAACGAAGCATTGAGACATACGATTAACAATTGGAACCATTGCGTAGACATCCAATGATACAACCCTAACGCCAGTGAATTCGCGATTTAGAGTGGTGATCAACCAATGGTGTTGGTGGCGACTGTCTTATTCCCAACATGTTTGAACTCTGTTACTCACGACTATTAATTAGAACTTCAAGAGCATTTTGAAGTTATTAGTTAGCAGAATATCACAGCCTAGTTAAAAGTTTTCATCAGTAGTAATGGATGAACTTCGTGATATGTTCCAAACTGATTGTATTTGGAGTTGTGCCATTAGAAGCCACGTCAGTGGTTTTATTGATTAAGAATTTGCCGGAAGATGTTATGGTCCTGGATCTGATTCATGAAGGGTTTGTGGTTGCCCACTGCTGAAGGGATCCATACCAAGATAAAGCAACTATCCCGAGATGTAACGAATACAACTTACTAATTAGATTGACTTCTATAAAACACATTTATCGATTTAAATACTACTTTAGTTATTTGTCTCATCGTAACAATTTATAGGATGTTTAAGGACTACTTTAAATTATATTGTTGTACCTAAAATGGATAAATAATAAAGCTAGACAGGGTAAACACATTGATAAGTTAAATTTATCTCTTAAAACTCAGAGAATAACTTAGCATGGCACAACCCATCTGAAACTAGAACCTACAACACTTCGCTTTAAACATAAAGTCTTACTAACTAAATTATGAAGTTGCAAAAGTTTTATTTTTAATACAATCAACGGTAGTATTGATATGGTTGTATACAAAAGTAAAATATTACAAATTATTAATCAACTCAGTGTTATGAATCTCCGATTGAATGTTCATTCGAAGGAGATATTAGAATTTCTAGTTAAAAAAACTACAACTTCAACGTTATAATCAGAGAATTAAAGTCCTACTGATAATGATATTAAAAGCATTACTACATTAAGAAATAAATATCGAAATTAAGAGATATCGGGGTAACAAACATACCAAGTCCTTATAACATTTTTTTTCTATCCAGTTGAAGAGGTAAATAAAAGGAAAATATAAACATAAGTTTCATATTTGCTATCAACCATCAACGAAAATGTAAACTAATTCTTGACAAAACTCATTCGATCTATGATATTTAGGTTTATGTTGTACAGCACCGCTTCAATGACAAAAGTTATATTTAAACACAAAATAAAACATTTTAAAAGATGTTTCCAAGTTTAAAAAAAAATCAATTGTTGGATAACAATCTCAATATTGCTTGTTCAGTATCCGTGAAATAGCTCTCAAGATTAGAGAGCGAAATACAGTAAAATTTTGGTAACGGGATAGGGAATAGATTTACAGTTTGTGGATAGTGTGAGAAAATTTATTGGAGTAACGAATGCACAATTATGTATAAAATGAACAGGAAGTCTTTCACTAAACATAGAAAAATATAATAATATAAAGAACAGACTGTATACCATAAGTAATACAAAATAAGTAAATATATGCTTACTCGAATAAGATCCTTTCGATGAGTATTATAAACTGCACGAAGATTGTGAATGCACATCTGTTGTAAATTTTCGGTGTTTAAGCTATATATATATTTGAAGGTCAAGACAAATGAATGAATTATCATGGATTCATTAAGATAATATTTATGAAAATAATACTTTGCAAGTATATTTTCTGTATAAAATCATAAAGCAGAAAGACAAGCTTTGAAATCAGTTGCACTGGAGTAGATGAATTTATTCCTTAACTAAATCTTAAGTTTAAATGTTATTTCATATATAGTGAACTTTGATTTCACTCTTTCTATGCTTATGTTTCTTAGATTATTAATAATATCCATATTTTGGCTAACTTGCTGTTCATATCTTAATGATTTCCTATTACTGTAGTAGACTGAAGTATGAGTACTTAAACTGATGTACATTTATACCACGTCCGATGTTGATTGATCACAAAGATAAATCTTTTTAAATAATGTTAGAGCAAATCAAAAGAAATTTTACAAAAACGCTCAATTATTTCTACATTAAATACTGAGTTGAAGAATACAGACATAATTTAAGGTATTTGTTATAGACTAGTAAAAACATACTATCTTACATACTATATCAACGCTTCATTACTAACGTTTTGGTCAGACATTTTTGTTAAATAGGAAAAACTGTAAATAACAATTGTAAAGATAGAACATTCAAGTATTTTATTCAGATCTTTTAAGAGATAAGTTCGGTTTTACACATGACTCAATTTTGAATTACTCAATTTAATTGTTTTAAACACTTATAAGTGCTTTACAGTATAATATAAATAAAGAAAATGAACGTATGTTCATCCGACAAGAATAATGGTGACAGGATATAATAAGTTAAACAATTAACAGGCAATATTTTTTAACACAAACTAATTCACCAAGTCATATGATAATTTCAATAAGAGCAAAATTCTGAAAAGAAAAGATTTATATCATAGTGAATAATAAAAGACTGTCGAATTGAAATCATTCATTATAACAGTAAGAAGAATTTGAGAAAAGTATATCAAACAAGATATGTTTAAATATAATCTTACGAACCTGTAATCATACATTAAATGCCGGTCCCAAATTAAAGGGCTCATGTCATAAATTTGAATAGTAGATGGATCTGTAAAATGAACATAATTAGAATTTTAAAGATTTACTCGAGGATAAAAAGTGTGAAGAAAAAATTAAGGGAAATTTCATTATGAATTTGTCCACAAATTGATAAAAAAAAATCATGTTATTACACTTATCGGTACATACAGTTAGGCAAAAAGAATTTACTTGTGTGCAGTCACATTTGATTTATTCACTATTAAAATTAACTTTAAGTTACTTTGTTTGCACTGGAAACATTCAGAACATATATTCTACAAAAGGAATGAATTAACCTTCGTTTTGCCCGGTGAAAAATTGTAAAAAGGAAACCTGATGAGATGTTTTAGGGCTACAAGGATGTGCTTACATAATACTAAAAACAAAGAAGTGGACTTTATGCATAATATGATAAATTAACTAGGTCACCCACAAAGATTTTTTATGGAAGCATGTGTTTACAGTTAACAGTTAGTTAGACACAGACTGTTCTACATAAATCTCTTTACTATAAAGCTAAAATTTAATGGAGATATAACTAGCACTGTTTTATACAACAGACTAACTAGAACTGAGAATAGGACTTTTTATTCAGCTGATCGTTGTTCGCCACTTCCTAATCGACCACTGGTGATCCCTTAACTAAATAATGAGTTACCTGGTCTCTCTACCTTGATATGCATCTAGTAATTCAGCTACTCATGCGAAGAACTCTATACTGGAAAGGGGGGGCTGCCAGACAGCCAGTTAACCAGCATCTCTCTTTCGTGATTCAAAAAAGGGTTAGACTAGGTCATGGGCAACTCCAGTAAGTATATGATGATGGTCATTTGATAGATAAAACCAAAGTATTCAGTTATTTTTTGAATTTGTGGTACCACTGCCTCTATCTCACTAAATGTCTCTACCATTTGTTTGTTTATGTTTACCTTTTTCATATATCATTTTTACTATTTGAATACTTAAATTGATAATTCACATAGTTCGTCTGAAGCAATTCTTTCAAGACCAGAGTTTTAACAAGTTTAATCTTGCAATTTTATACATATTTCCGAAATAATAATTATTGTTATCTTACTCTTTAATGTACTTAGAATTAATACAATACATACCAACTTACTCTCAATTTACATTTTTCACTTATTATTACTAGTTATGCAATCGGTTTCTCAATGACTCGAGAAACCCCATGATTGCTTTATTATTTTTTACATAGACATATAAATATTACTGTATATTAGAATAGAGTGGTATGAAGATTTGGTTGAAAACTAGATTATTGACTTATATGTATTGTTTCAGTAAGAAGCAAAGAAAAAGAGGGATCTACTACTTATATTCTTCATCGATAATAGATCTTGATTGATGTGATGCTTTTTTCGAACATAAGCTAGTTATTCAAACCTATTCGCGTTGTACGTGCACGCAGAACTAAAATGACTGCATATTTAGAAAAAGAAGGTCAAAATATACTAAACTACATCTTATTGGATGCATGATTTGTTTTAAAAAATGATTAAAAAGCACTATCTTTTTAAACTTTTTTTTTCTTTAAATAACCAGAATAAAATATCAGCTCTTCCCCTATCCGTTAGGATAACTAAATAGAGATTATGAACCAAGTAATTTATTCTTTTACAAATAGCAGAAATAATTGATTGATAACCTCAACTAGAAATGTTTGTGAGCTAAACATATTGATAATTTAAGTTCTTGTATGTAGTGAAAGTTATTTAATACATGTATGTGTAGTAATGAAGAATCAATGTTTACTATACAACTTTCATTAAATATTTCATAAAGTGAATGCTACATGACAACTCATACTATTTTGAATACACACTAGGATTTTTATTCCGTGCATAATGTATAGTCAGTCAGTTGGAAAGTGATCCCATTCACTTTTGACTCCTATCAAGGTGGTAATTCATGATAAATAAATAGTTCGGTCATACTAATCATTCTAAAATTTCATGCATCCATTTAACAGTTACGACAATTTTTATATTCCATAAAAGTTGATCTTTCAAAAGTTGCGTAATGATCTCAAAATTAATGAAATAAATTTAGATAACAAAAGTTAGGGATGATCAACTACTTGACGAATAGGAAGAGAGTGAAAAAGAAGAAAAGAGAAATTAGAAAATGATAATTATTATTCATTAATAAATATAAAAGATTGAAAGACAATACTAACAATTGACTATTATGTAAAATAAGAAAAGTTAAATCTTTGGTGGAATGAAAGATTAGATAGGTTACTTCTGCGAATAGAATTTAGGTCTTAGTTTCTTTAATTCTTATTCAACTTATTCCTAGGTTCCGAGTAATTTCATTCTACTGTAACAATATAAACAGATGTAATTAGTTAAATATATCAAGAGATCTATACAAATGTAATCAATGACTGAATACTTCTAGGATAAATAATTACTGACAAGTAAGTGAACAAAAATCAATTATAGAAAATAATTAACATAAAATGATACAGGAAATATTGTTGCTTATGATAACGTAAAAACACATTACAACTATTACATATTTCTGCATATCAGTAATTTTGATAATACAATATGAAGGCGGTATAAATATGACTAAAATAAGTCGTCATCATTTAAGAAAAATAATGTCAATATCGGATATATATATCCCTAGTTGTCGGCAAAGCTAACTTGTTAATCAGATATCATAGTAATAATAATAACTATAAAATCGTATCAATTTTCATTCATTTAAATATCTAAGTCCTAATTTTTGTCATGATACACACCTACTTGAACACTCATATATATATATATATATATATATATATATATATATATATATATATATATATATATATATATATATATATATATAAGCAAATGTAAGCTTTTATAAGAATAGTGTACAAAATTATTTTACAAGAAACTTCATTTGGAAATCCTATAATATATTATCAGTAAAACAGAGTAAATTTACAACAACAACAACAACAACAACAGAGAATAGCGCTGATGAGTAAAATGATGCGAAAATATGAGCTGATACGCCACTGTTAAGGTCAACTTTAAAATTAATATAAAACGTGCATATATACATTAGTCAATAGAGTAACTATAACTGCATTTACTTTTAAAGCAGATACACATTTCCTTCGATTTTCATATGTCAACTGTGATATGTATATGTAGCGAAGAAAAACAAGATAATAATATAAACAAACATGACTTACAAATCATACTGAAATGACTGAGGAAAATTTCAGTTGGATTCTGCACATCAGGAGAGTTAGGATGTGTTGTTGAAATGGAATTGAACCATTTTTGTTCCGTCACACAAGCAGACTCAAACGAATTTTTCTATAACAAATAAAAATGGATAACAACGTTTTATGCACAACAAAATGCTCGACTAAATTGGTTTATTTTAATAATCATTAGAAGCTTATTTTATTAGTCATGACCCGTTCACAATACTATCCACAATTCTTTTGATTGATAATGAAGTGTTTGGAATCAAGTTAACGTATGTTTCAAACTTCTTTCATGTTGAGAATGGTCAGATTTCCTAAAACAAAATGTAACACTAACAGTTTTCCGCCTAACTCTTTAAATTCTGTGTGTCTTTCTTTCTTATTTTAGTCAAATATGTTCAATTGTTAGTCATTACTTGATCTAATGAAATTTTTTTTCAACCCGCTAGAAATACATGATAACTATTTAGAAAACTGATGATTATTATAAACAAGTAAATTTTCAAAACAAATATCGATTTCCTTTTGCAAACTCATTTATTACTGTGTAAGAAAAGAGGACGTTCTCTAGATTCATAGTTTATAGCATTTACTGCTAAGAGTATCGAGCCTTATGTACTGAGAAATTCGTACAACTTACAAAAGTAACACATTATAACGAATTTTATCCGACATAACTGAGGAATTGAAATCTCCGAGAGTTGAAATTTCTCACATCAATCATTCTGTAATATACTCCAAAACGTAATGAATAAATGATAAATGAAATGTTATATAATACATGCAGTCGACTGTACAAAAATATTACATAATGGTTAACAAGTAATAATAGAATTTTACGAGAAAAGTAACAATATAACATATAAGCTAAATTTACCTTTACTTCAGCATCATTATCTGTTGAATTCATTGAATTTTGGTTAAGTTCTACATTCATTTTAAAAGATAACCTATTTCTGTCAATTAGTTCAGTGATAATTTTCTGTTTCTTATGAGGTTGATGCTGTTGTCGTTGTTGTTCTTTACAATCTACCTCAAATCTAGCAAATGAATCAATTATATTTCCAATACAATTCTGAAATGATCTTCTCATATCATCATTATATTCACGATTTGCTGATGAAAATCGTTGGATAAATGTTTGATATTCACTAAATGATTGTGGTGTCCAATCTTTTTTTGTGTCATTATTATTATTATTTGTTAACTCTACTTGACATTTATCATCTGATGAAGTTGATTTTATAGAATTACGTATAAATGACAAAGATTCTGGTAGACCGAATGTTACAATTAGACCATTCGTGGTAAAATGAACACCAGATGTTCTTGGGAAAGGAATACCTATTGTATAATGACATTTTTGTTTCATTGAAGCTGTTGTATCAATAATTGGTTTGTTCAGTGTATCCATATTAACATTAAGCATATCATAATTAGTAGTAGATAAATTTGTTAGGTTTAATTTTTTAGAATTATTTTCTATCTACAATAAAATCAAAAGAGAAAAAACGAATCAAAAGTAAAACTGTGAGGATGAAGACGGTGGTCTATGACGGTAGCTGAGCGACTTTTTTTATATGAATACATTTTAGTAGTTATAACTCATTGTGTCCATAACATGGAATACAAAATGTTAATGAGTCAATTATATCCAAAACCGACTTCTTAAATTCTCCACAGATACAACACAATGTAGGGAAGATATTAATAAGATACTTACTTGATTACATAACGTAGGATATGTTTGTAAAGTGATCACGGCATTTCGTATACACGGTTCAACACAACCACGCGAGGTGGACACTAGTTCAGATGCAGTTGAATATAAAACCTGATAACAGAAGAAAGTAACACAGCAACTAAAAGATTTTAAGAAATACACCAACAGAAATGAGATAAAAGTTGAAAATATCTTATTTTGAGGACGATAAAACACATAATTCACATTTTTTCTTAAATGAATTACTGTCTGATAGTAATTAACATTTCGATGATAGTTGATTCTAATAAGCAATCAGAATTAAGCGAATCACATAAAACTACCTCTAACTTTTAGTGATAGAATAAAGAAATTTAGGCTTAGACAAGTACTGAGAAAACTTTAAAAATCTTAGTAACTACGTGATGATAAATTGTTGTATATGTCTATTAAAATGAAGCTCGGACAATGATAAGAAATCCAAACTAATCAGTGTTGTAGGAAACGTGCTTTACCACAAGATATATCTTTTATTATGAATGAATCTGTGTAAAAATTCTTAAGACAGAACATAGAATGTCAAGTGATTACCTACCGAATATGTCGGTTGTTTGAATTACCATAATTAATGAACATTTGAATGCCATATTATGTGAATCAGCTCTCCCTTTCTATATATATAACTATCGTTATCGATAGGAATGAAGTTAAACGAACTAGATCTAGGACGAAATTTTTCCAAGATAGTTTAAAGTGTCAATCTGTTCTCTCTAAATAATTTCGATAGATATTTCTAAACATGTAGAATAAACAGCTTAGTTTCTACGTATGCTTAAAAATCAAGAAAATAAAAAAGTTGAATATCTTATTAGAATTAGTTTCTTTTTGTATTGTTTCACTGATTTTCATGTTCAGAAAAAAAACTATATCTTGAAATGCTAATAATTTGATGTTTTTTAATGATAAGTTGGAACTGTTTACTTTAGATCACTTAGATAAACAGTTAAGAGAATGAGTTGAAATAATAAAATTCTCGTCAGTATAAATGTATACCAACAAGTAAAACTATAAAGAAACAAGAAATATATACTAAAAACATCATTTATAGCCATTTCTTCATAACTAATATTAAGAATATAAATAATATAGGAATATACAATATATTAAATGAGATATTTATTTATTTAGTTGAACACATAAATATTGGTACAAGAGGGTACCAAATATATATGCGCCACACAAAACAATGAGAATGTGAAGAGAAAAAAGGTAAGAAGCTTATAGGAAAAAAAAGAACAGTAATGAACAGATTACTGTACGGCAGTGTAATAATAATAATAATGGGGGAAACGGAAAGGTACAATCAGAAGAAATCTTTCAGTTAAGGAAGATACAACCACTTTTTATGAAGAAAGTAAAAGAAGGTTACCGCACGATCGCCACTGGCTTCTATTCTGAGCCATATCTGATAACGTCTCTAGCCACGGTGTTGCACCATCTCTAGGACCCCAACCAGGGAGTCGTGAAGGACCAACGCAAGCCAGTCCTTTGCAGCTTTCTTTCATACCACGACACAATGTCATACACTGACCACCTCTCCGCTTTTCCCAACCAGTTCCAGCGTCGGCAAATAATGCACGACTTGGAATTCTCTGGGACGACATTCGTACAACATTTCCAAACCACCGAAGTCGGTGTTCAAGATGGTGACACCAATTGGATTGTCGTCTCTGTGCCCGAACACACGATGCCGAACCTCTGCATTACTAACATGGTGTTGCCACTGGATGTCAGCAATCCTCCGGGGACAGCGATGATCGAACACAGAGAGTCATCTTACATCCTCAACTCGGAGAGGCCAGGTTTCACAAGCATAGAGCAAAACTGCTCTCACCGCCGCGTTGTAGATTCGACCTTTTACAGCCAGACTGACATCAGGAAGGCGCCAAAGATGGCCCAGATTGGCATAAGCCGCTCTGGCTTTCACTATACGTGTATTGATCTCATCGCTCACGCCACCATCAGCACTTATGCAGCTACCTAGATACACAAACTTCTCGACTACTTCTATCTGCTCACCATTCAGAGTGAGTGCAGGATTAGAATCCTCCCAGTCTTGTAGAAGTACTTTGCACTTCGAAGGTACAAAGCACATACCATACCTATGGACACTGATTGCCAACTGATTAAGTGCGGATTGCATGGCTTGGGCATTATCGCACAGTAAGACAAACTACTATTATTGATCTTTAGTGCAACATATATAAGCGAACAATATTGTTTTCGATTAGATCCTCATCAGGATTTACTCTAATATACAGTAATATTCATATGCATATACGAAATTATTAAACCAATCAAAGTAGTTAATGAGTCAACGATAACGATGGGAAAGATTACATAATAAGTGAAAAGTACAAATTGGTAGTGTGATGACAGGTGTACTAGTTGTCATAAGAATAATAAAGGCTTAAATCATTGTTACACAATAGGAAATAGGTCAATGATTAGAAAAATATACAATGAGATAACATTTATAAAAAATTATAAGATTATTGAACTGTGTAGAAAAAAACAATGATATTCACATAGTGAACAGATAATCTCTTACAGTTTTAATTTACAAAAAAGTAAGTCATTTAAATTCCTGTAAAGTTGAAATATTTTTTTAGTCTTTCAGTTTTAACGTTAATATGACAATTATTACTAAGGGATGTTAAAATGTTGAAACATTGGAATAGTAATTAAATAATTTAATTTTTCAACTAATAGGTACTAGGTAGCAGGTTCAAATTTCATTACACTTAATTTGGTTTGAGCAGACGAATAGTATTAGTAACCCATATAACCTGAAATATATCACGAAATCCAGTGTATAAAACCGTACTTTATTAATGAAGTAATCACAGAAATATGGTAATTGGTGTTTGGATTGTCGATGTGAGTTTCGTCTTCCGCTTAATATATATTACATAGCAATGAATATTTATTTCATCCGTTGGGAATTGAGGCAAGTATTTTTTTTATAACAAACAACAACCATCACAATTTATTATTATTAACAAACATTGATCACTGTGTTGAGTGGTTTTAAAGTATACCTAATTGGTTTCAAATTAAATGTGAGCATACAAACAATAACTAATATTTATGTACGATTAGCTGAACGCCACAAAAATGAAATAAAAAATGTATTCCAGAAAACACCGCTAACAGTAATCAAAAATACTACAACAATATCACTAAGAAAATCTTTAAAAGAAAATAGGAGAGAGAGAAACAGAGGGGATTAATAAGAAAAAACTTACATCCTTTAATTCATCTAATACTTCTGGAGGTAAGGGTGGACTGCAATCAAGTACATGAAATTCTGGTATAGCTCCATTTAATGGATAATAATCAGGGAATTCTATACTTAATATTATTGAACCAGCTAATGGCATTTCATAGTTATGTGTATTGTTAGTCGTCGAATTTTCTAATTCATGACTATTATCAAAGGTTAAAGTAAATGGGTGATTTGATGGATAATTTGTTAAATGTGTACTCTCTTCATTATCAACACTAACAGCACTATTACTAATGCTAGTCCGATTCGATATTGTACGTTCAGTATCAGTTGTTGATGATAAATTACGATGGTGTACTTTCCAAAAATTTGAATGTTCAGAAAATTCCATTTGTGAAATTAGATCAGCAGTTGGAGGTAATAATAGACTATCAAGACCTTCATTATTCATTACAGAACTATGACGTCGTCTTCGAAGTGTATTAGTTACTGAACATAGTGAATAATGATGATGATGATTACGACGACAGTAAAATAAAATTAATTTAGCTGTACGATTGATAAGATCCATTTCTTCTAACTTATACTAAAGATACACAAATAAAAAATATAAACAACAATATAGTTTAAAAACTATTGACTAATGGTTACAATAAAAGTTCGAACTAAAAAAAAGAGTTAACACGTTTCATAAATCCAAAATGATAAAGTCCCTTTTAATTTGTACACATGAAATGTTTGCATAAATTTGATGAATTTCGAATTTCATTGATCTGATGAAGTAACTAATATTGAAAATTTGAGGGATATATGATAACATTGAAGTCGTGCAAAACAAATACATATTGACATATAATGCGAATGTACAGTTAAAAATCATTTTATAACAGATATAGTTAATCGAAGCAATTGTATTACTGTAATAGATTTTAATTACTGCAGCTCCAAGTTTTAGAACAAGAAAACTATAGTTTTATGGATGGTATACAACATAGATTAATGAAAAAACTTTTTTCTTATAGTGTCAACACTACTTGAAAATTAACATTTTCCTATAACTTACAAACCATGTTACACAGTTGTCATATATAAATAACCGTGAAAACAACAAAGAATTATGTCATTAATTATTCGTTAATATGTTACAACTAGTAATTAGCTATCGCTATTTTGTATTATAATCAATGTGATTGAATTTAAGCTATTAAAACTAGTTTAATTTGTTAACTTTGGTTAGCGTATTTTTAGCAATGTTGTTTTCTACGAGATGAGGATGCTGACCTCATGGCCAACCCTCTTCCGTTACCCGAGCTCGCAACCGGCAGTAGCCCTAGAACAGCTATAGGCGCCGAGAATCGGAAACAGACATCAAAAGTAGCATCCAGAAAGGATTATACGTGACAGAGTTCAACAGAGAATGCTGATGGGTGGCCAATCCTCCTCTGCAAAGGGGTAACAGGGGTAAGTAAATAAAACTAGTTTAACAAGCTAACATAATTTTAGAAAACATATTCACGTGGTCTTACGGTAAAGATAAGGTTGCAGACGTTATATATATATATATATATAAGTATTGCAAAAATGTAATTTTCAGAAAGAGATAAATTTTTAAAAGTACCAAACATAGTAATTTCAATAATAATCATTACTTCAAAATGCTAAAACATAACTGGATTAACTTTAATCAATTTTCACGTTTTTTTTCTAACCAAATGTCGTTTAATTAAATTTATCATAGGAATTTATGGAAATATACCTTTTAAAAGCGGTAGGCGGAGAATTTTCACTGTCTACTAAACGTATTTGCAATATTAAAAGGAACGTTTTACAAGAGATGAATGTCAATTTTTATGCTTTTAGTTGCTACGCTGAACAGTATATTATATATGTATTATATCAACTATGGAGACATACACATTGATAAATTGTATTTCATCTAACAATGCTTTCAAAAAATACTATGTGTATTATCGATATGCTTGAATAATTTACAGTGTATAATAAATAAATTTAAACCGTTATTACCCAATACATCCTGATCATTTGATAAATTTTAATAAGGTGAGAACAAAAAGACATTCAGAATAAAATTAATTCATTATATTTTCAGGCTTTTCATCAGTTATAAACGGCCATTATTTTTATTGATATAAAATGTATGATAATGGACTTATTTGTGGAGCTGACACTTAGTGATTTCAGCCAATAAATCAAAGAACGTGAAACATTGAAGCAGCTGCTGAAGTACAAAAAAAGCAAGGTTTAACACATTGACTACCTATAGACTAGTACATAATCCTGTACATGGTTGCTAAGTTACAATTTTGTCTTCAATTAGCGTAGATATCCCATTGAAGGAAAAGATTTGAACGAAATATAAAACATTATTCATGCTAGTAATACTAATGGTTATAACACAACAATATGATAGGGGCGAATTATTAAAATTGTCGAATAACTAATGTTTCAGTTGGTATAATTACCATAATAATAACAACAGTAATAGTAATAAAGTAGAAATATTAGTTCATTTACTTTCTACTTACTTAACAATAAATAAATGGTAACAGCAGCAAATGAAAAAATTGACATTTAAAAATGTATATTAATAACATCGATAAAACATCATGACTGGGATTTACATATCATGTGTAACGCTAATTACTGTAATTAATTTTGTTATACTGTTTCTCTTCTCTTCTCTTTTGAATACTGACAATGAAATATCACAAATTTTATGACTAAAACCCATAGGGAAGGGCAAACAACAAACAATGTAGGAAATGCTTTAGTGTAGAGAATGAATTCCCCAGAATTCACATCTGTACATCGACCTTGATGTAGGGCAGCTGGAGGTAGTCATCAGGAAATTCTAGTCTCAGTTTAGTACTAGTTAGTACATGTCACTAAGGCAAACCTGTAATCATAAGGGAACAGATTGTTCTTCCTAGTGCATTCGAATTCGGGTAACCCAGTTTCAGTCTAAAAGGTTATTATCGAAATATTTTAGTCAAAACTGAATAGCTGTAAGACAGATATTTGCATTGACTGATTACTGCGTAGAGGTTACATGAGAATACTATCGAACTAATCATTTGCCACTACTCTGTGAACAACCATCGTACGTATACGGACTTTGATATCGTACATTTTTCTAGCTATCCTTACTCGAAAGGGCATTTGCAAGTACGAAATGTTGTATGAATATCGTATCAGCATCTATCGTTTTACTATTCATAGATTGCTGCAGTGGTGGGCGACGAAAGCAAAAGAGATGGAAAAGGCGGCGGCTATAGGAAACACAAGACAGCTCTACAGACTAATAAAAGAAACTGGAATTAATAAATAAAGTGTAATTCAGACCATTTCGGAAAAAGACGACACCCTCATCTGCTCTCAGTCCAGACGTTTAGAATGATGGGCGGAACATTTCAGCTGGCCTTCAGCTACTCTACAACTACCCTCCTTTCCCAGACAGTGTGAATGGAACATTGAAGTAGGTCCCCCAACTCTTGCTGAAGTTCAAAAAGCTATAGTTAATCTGAAACGAGGAAGGGCAGTTGGTCCAGATGGATTGGCTCCAGAGGTCTTTAAGGATGGTGGTCCAATTTTAGCGATTAGGTTGACTAATATTTTAGCTAAAATCTGGGAGTTAGACGTTATTCCATCTAACTGGTCACAATCACTTATCGTCCCAATATATAAGAAAGGGTCAAAATCATCCTGTGACAACCACAGAGGGATTAGTTTAACTAATATAATATCTAAAATAATAGCCTCGATAATTATCAGACGCCTAACTAAGACTCGTGAACTGCAAACACGAGAGAACCAAGTTGGCTTTAGACCTGGTCGTGGCTGCATCGACCACATATTCACCATTCGTCAGATTCTAGAACACAGGCATACTTATCGACGTCCGACAATGGTGGTATTTCTTGACTTAAAAGCAGCATTTGACTCGGTAGACCGCAAGATTCTGTGGCAGTGTCTGTCATTGAAAGGCGTACAACAGAAGTACATAAACCTTGTAAAGGCTCTTTACTCGAACACTACTAGTCGAATCAGAGCTTATGGCGAACTGTCACCTGCTTTTGCAACCTCAAGTGGTGTCCGTCAAGGCTGTCCACTTTCTCCATTTTTGTTTAACTTCATCACAGACCTACTGATGGAAATAACATTCTCGTCGACTGAATTCTCGGGTATTGATCTCCTTCCAGGAGGTCCACTTATCGACTAAGAATACGCAGATGACATATTCCTGTTTGGTGAAGACGCTGACAAAATGCAGAGTCTTCTGGTAGCACTGAGCAACAATGCCAGAATGTTTGGAATGCGCTTCTCTCCCTCGAAATGCAAGTTGTTGCTTCAGGACTGGTCTGCGTTAACACCTGAACTAAGGATAGGTAGTGAAGTAGTCGAACGCGTTGACAACTTCACTTATCTTGGAAGTCTGATCAGCCCTAATGGGTTAGTGTCTGACGAAATCTCGGCACGGATTCGAAAAGCTCGTTTGGCTTTTGTCAACTTACGTTACCTATGGCGAAGGCGAGATATCCGTCTATCAATATAAGGAAGTCTACTGCGCGGCAGTTCATTCTGTTTTAATTTACAGCTGCGAAACGTGACCATTAAGAGTGGAAGATACTCGTAAGATACTTGTATTTGATCCCAGATGTTTTAGAAATATTGCTCGCATCTGCTAGGATCACCGGGTAAGTAATAGTGAGGTTAGGCGCAGGGTATTAGGGAATGATGGTAAATCATTTGATGAGGTTGTAAATCTTCATCGACTGAGATTGTTGGACCACGTGTTACGTATGCCTAAACACCGATTACCACGACGCGAAATGTTGACTAGTGTTGAAGATGGTTGGAAGAAAGTTAGGGGCGGCCAAACCAAAACGTGGCGTCAGTCATTGAAAGCATTCACTTCCGGTCTGAGTCATGTCGGTAGATGCACAATACTTTGTTGTGTCCGCGTGACTATCGTAATCAATAGTTGGAGACTCTGGATAACATGGCTCAAAATCAATCACAGTGGAGTAGGTGTATACACTCTCTGTCTTCCCTTAAACCGTGAGACTAAAATCCCTTTCTGTCTTTCTTTCTTTCTACCAACTAATTCTTTTTCCTGTACTATATCCTTATATGCAATCTTTCTTTCATATATTGCTAACATTGAAGTGACTACTATGAATTCGGTGTTCATCTTGTTGTGCTAATGAGGTATGGCAAGTTGGACCGATGCATATATGTGCCTGGTCCTACGTTGTAGCTGACTGACTGACTGACTGAGATTGTTGCAAAATTACTGCATTTGGTAATTAAACAATGTTAAACTACTCAACAATGAACAAGTAAAAACACAGAAAAGAATATCACTGTAGACATTCTCTACGAACAAGCTGGTAACGGTGTTATCCAAGAAATCTGTCTGTACAATAATGGCTCGTGTGAAGAACGGGACAACAAGTTATTCGGGTTCCCCACAAATATGTACCATAGACGATAATCACTTTATCAACGGAAGAATAGATTAATTATTGTTGACTTTGTCCTACACTTTCCACTCCAGTCATCTGATGCATTCATTTCAACAAAGTAATATCATTTATCATTTTTCCGTAAGATTTTACAACTGAAAACACCGTATAAATCAAGGACTACAACTGACAACATCAGCTACAACTATACAACATGACCACTATTTTTTAATTTTTTCGACAACACACAGAACTGTATCCATTAAATTAAGAAAGTAACATTTGTAATGGTTAGATTTGACATTATAATTCCATATAAAAACCAACAAAAATTTCATTTCGATCATTATTAGTTGCACCAACCAAAACATTTGTTCAATGTTCATAATCTTTTAACCACAGTTTTAAATGTTTAACGGAACGAGTCATTCGTATAAAATCTGAAGTGTAAAATATTAGTGAATTTATCTTTGAAAAGTATAGCAATGATATGAATTAGATCTAAAAAATATATCAAGTAGTAAATATAAACTTACTTGTCCAGCTCTATGGCTTAACAGAGATAATTCTTGAGCGAGAAATTGGAATGCACTATCTTCTTGATTTCCACCTACAACAACAAGAAAGTCATAAATATACATAAATCATTATTATACTTTTCAAAAAGCTTTCAAGCGATTGTAATAGTTCCAGCAATCAATTTGGTTAAAAAAAATTAGAGACATAGTGATGTCTGGGCCAATGTTCAACAAAGAAAAGTAATAAATATGTTGATTTGTTGCGATCAGTTATAAATAACTGGTTTGTCTCATTACTAACCTAACAAAAAATGCTATTTAGGTGACTCCATAGACGGGATCTCTGAAAACAACTTTCTGGAGGATCTCGCACTAATTTATTGAGACACATATTCCGACAGTGTTCATGAAACATTTAAATAGTACAATAATGTATTTTTTAGTGAATGTAAAACATATATGTAAATTTCCTTAGAGCCCTCCTAGAGTTTATACTGGTCCCAAGCCCTGATAAAGGAGGTTTAGAGAAAAGGTTGATAACTCCATCCCGTAGAAAAAAACCTTGCCAAAAAGCGCAATTATCTTTAGATACCAGGAGGTATTGCACATGAACTAATGAAATTTTAGTGCGATTTAGTGATTAAGTACAGATAAAGTTTTGAGACATACTTATTTGAAAGATAGTAATACTACACGAGTTCCAAACGGAAGTGAAATGGTAGTCAAGATGGTTGAAATTAGAGTGTTTTAACCATAAATTCACTACTTTTGGGAATTATTAGCACCATAGTACAGAAAATGAGCATTGTGAGTTATAGTACTTCTACAGCTAATATTAATAACTATAATTATAGTGATAATAATAATAGCGATGATGATGGTGAGAATCTACAAACAGCTTTTATTTTGGGAGTGCATCAGCGAATTTATTTTACTGACAAATTTGAGCAGGAAAAACAGTATATATAATCGTAAAAGTTAATTCAAGAATGAAATGAAAAAATCAGTTTGAACAGGTCAAACAAACTTATTTAGTATTGAAGATACTTATAAAATTTCTTTTTCATAATATAAATATATGTTGAAGAATTAGCATCATAACATACATTTAGGATCTGCATTCGATCCACTTTTCGAAATAGATAAACATGATTTGGAGACGGAAGAACGTTGGCCAAAATCTTCACCACGATGTTGCAGGTCAACAACCTGCTTTTTTCAACATAAAAGAAAATGATCTAAATAAAACTACACAAATTGAGATTGATAAACGTCAGACTGTAAGAAACTTCAAATTGCGTATATCATTCAAGATGTAATTGAGTTTAATAAAATTCCTGACAACTAAGCATTCATTAGTTGTGAAGTGGTACCGGTCAATATACCGATCGAGATGGAAGATCCGTGTTTCATAGTAAAATATCTAGTTTTTCTACACAAACACATTTTTGAAAACCAAATAAATTCGACTATAAATCACTAGTGAATGGGATCAAACAAGTTTAAAATAAAACTGTGTTCTAATGGATCACGTTCCTTGGTGCGCTAAGTAAGTTAGGCTTTCAGCTAAAAATGGTTGCATTCATGTTTGGTGCTAACATGAATTAGTAAGTCATAACCAATGTAGTATCTGTCATAAATTCGAGTCAGTAAACGTTTCCATATCATATCATCAATGCAAGACGGAATTATTAAGACAAAATAGCAAAAGCTAAGATAGCGATAGTATCCACTGGTGGCTTTTTTCGACAACATATTTCTACTTCAGTTAGCATTGTAAATTGAGGTAGGAGGTGGTTAGGCATATGTGACACATCTCCAACTTTTATGGTCGATAAAAAATTCCCAGATTAATTAACCGACTCACAATCTTTGCCTGATGTTAGTGTAAGTTTAACCTTACAATCGGTCAGCCTATTGTTCTATTGCATACAATTAACAGGACAAAGACACTAATATTAAAACATTTTGCATGTATTCCTAGTAAAAAAATTTCAAAAAGGCTGGAATATTATATAAAGGAAATCAATATTTGGTAGAATTGTAACCGAAGTAATTAATAAACACGTGGACTCTGTCGAAATGTCTTGGAATTAATTTTAAAAAAGTCTATTATAAAAAGAATATTAAACATTGGATAAAGTTTTCCTAACTTCTTAATTTGACGATAAGTCGATTATTAACAATGTCAGACTTGGCACAAATGTGGATCAGTTCAAGCCATAACACTTTTTATAAGTAAAACAAGAAAAAATCAGCAGCTTGAGAAGTAAAAAGATAGAAAATTGCAATGTTAGAATTTTGGTAATAAACAAATAAGATTTAAAATGAAATGTAAAAACTGACCTGATCACACTTATCTCAAAGTGTGAAGGCTGAGTTAACAAATACAAAACTACAGAAACGTTAGTATGATTCATTAGTATAAGTTTACTTTCCAAAAACTGTGTAACGGTGTTCTTAAAGAGTCAAAAAATAATTTATTAACCAAATGGAAAGAGATCTAAATGACTGTATAAAGTAATAAAGATATTCGTTTTATACTCAATAGTGAATAAATTGATTACGATTAGCTGAATTATAATTTCCCGTGTTATTTGAATAAAATAACTTACTACCGACAACTTATGATGTAACTATATTCTACTAGTTACATAGACAGTGTAGAAAACATGCCTTGCTTTTGAACTCCTAGATGTTTATCAATAATTATCTTTGAAAAACATGATGTTTTGTCGAACAATATATAGTTAATTACATAATTATACAAATAAACATAAATAACCTTTAGTTTATTTAAATTGTTTGTCGAAGTATTACTAAACTTCTTTGATTGATTTGTCTTTGGATTGAAATTCGTTGATAATTTATCATCTAATAAATTTTCTGATTTTTCTTTTATTATCCTTGTTTGTTTATTTGCTTGATTTGATAATGGTTCATTATCATGATGTGAAATTGATTTAAAATGAATTGGGTAAACACGAAGTATATTATCCATTGACCAAGTAAGTAAATGTACATTTTCTAAGTATAAATGTAAAATAAAATAAATTAAGCAAATTTATTATTATTGTGTAAGACAAATAAATTCTGGTAAGTAGTTTGATTTGGATTCAATTCTTAAATTAGTAACCTACAACATAAGATAAATGCTAAAGGGGAGTGCTGTAAATGAAGCACTCTCAGAGAGATTTAAGTTAATAAATTCAATTTAATAACAAACAAAACTATTAACCTGCTTTGAAATCGATTTCTAGAGTTTAAGTAAGAAATTGTAACTAGAGGACAGTATATCCATTTTAGAAACAAAATAGTATTTGTTATGTGATATCGTGAATTGATTGAATCCAGAAATATGGATAACTGAATGTAAACTTATTTGTTTAAGTAAATTATGTTCATCATAAGATTTAAATGTCTTAAGTTCTACTGTATATTGGTAATATTCATAGATGTGAACCGATAGTGAAACACAACTGAAACGAAACAGCTTTTTCAAATGATATCACTTAATAATAAAACTTGTCAACAAAATGCAAATAATTTTCCTTAAAAAAGCTTGGACCAGATTGCCAGGCGAAACGTTGGATTTACTTCAAATTCTTTCGCTGAGATTTTACAAATACCTTCTTCCTCATTAATGTCTCACATTAACTCGGCGTCCAAATATTGTGGAAATGCAAAAAGTCTTTGTAAATTTCAAAGTAAACAAAAATATAAACGTCATAAACAGAGAAGAGAATCAAAAGGAATAAAATGATTTATATTGGGTATCGAAAGAAATAATGAGGAAAATTAAAGTGCTTGAAGTTTGAAAAAAAACAACGGTAAGAATTAGAAGGATAACAGTGAAGCAAAAAAAAGAAATAGTAACCCAATCAAAAACTATAATTACAATGTAGCTAAATGATTTGTTAAAAAGGATGGTTCTTTTTAAGTTGACTTGATTCTTGTCACATATACACTAGCCTGTACTTATTTTCTAAATACTTTATGTACAGTTCTTTTTTATACTGCATTTTAAAAAAATATGTACTACTGGATAATAAGATTGCATAAATGGTAACAGTAGTGATTATCCATTGATCAATTGCATAGGGCTCCATTAAGAAGTATGTCTCGAGAGATAGATATAAATATTTATGAAGTGAATAGTAATTAATTAACTATTATCAATACAGTTAATCATATCTGTTAGAATGATTGTTATATTGTTGCTTTTTTAAAAAATGCAAAAATTAGAAAAAAATTCAAAGTGATACATTAAAACAATCAAAATTAATCAACTAAAAAAAGAACATCTACACTTTATTTGAAATTAAATTGACTTTTGATAAATCAAGAAGAAAATACAAATCATCAAAATTTAATTATGTCGATGACATTTAGTTATTACAAATGAAAATTTCAACTAAACTACTTGTTAGGAACAGTTACAGATTACTTCTGATTATTAATGTTAACTTGGTCTTGAACAATTGTTGCTTAATGCCTTATTTCTTTTATTATTGGTTTTGATGAAAAACATAATTTTATCAATATTGTAGTATCAGATGGGTTTTGTGGATATTATAGTAACTTCAATGGTTGAGATCAAGAGTCAGTTGAAGCTAGACCACCATTGAAAACCTGGAAGCACTGGACGGCCGTTTCGTCCTATTGTGGGACTCCTCAGCAGTGCGCATCCAGGACCTGCGAGATTCGAACCCAGGACCTACTGGTTTCGCGCGCGAGCACTTAACCACTAGACCAATGAGCCGGTATCCAACGGTATTAATGTCTAACTTCAACTAGTAGTAGTAATTAATAAGGTTACAGTCTGATAATCTATAATTTCAAGTTAGTTATAATAATCAGACAATATTGCTCAGATTAGTTAAAACCATGATTTTATATTTACCGTATTAAAATAAATTTTTATATATGAAACAAATAAAACTTTAAACAATAAAGAGAAACATTAATAAGTTTGATAATGGAACTTACAAATGAGTACTCAAGTGGAAACTGTCAACTACATTAAACATATGTAGCTAAACGAAAGTATAAAAATTAACCTTAGATGTTAAAGAACGATCGTTTACACTCTACCTATATTTGTGCCACATGAAACAGTACATAGAGTTGGGGGTAACTGAATTTCAGAAAATCATACAGAAGACTTTAGTAAAGGATTTTCAACCTACACTAAAGCTGTGGAATCAATAAACTATTTTTATTCACAGGCAATGTCAAGTATACCACACAGTAAAGCATTCTATACTAATGTGTGACTGAGACATGATAGTTGACGTTGAACGAATAGAGATTACATTTGCGAAATATTCTTTGGATTTGAGTGAATAACTAATGTTATAAGAACATTCAATAGGAACTGGTAGTATTCTCACAGCCAAGAATGTTTTCGTGTGAAGTTGTAAATACACAATGATTGAGTCAGGTGATATGTGTTTTATATGTGTATCTACACTCTAAATTCAAATAATAAATAAAGCAAAATGGACCTATCATGGATAGAGTTGTAGTAAGATGAAATTGTACTAATTCACGAAATGAATGGAACTGGTAAACGATCATTTTAATAGGCGGAGTTCAATCAAACGCATAAAGCGGTGTTTGTTGAAAAAGCCAACCATTAAATTAAAGTGAATTCGTAATATTAAATGATAAAGTGGTTGAAACATTCGAGTTTTAAACAGTAGGGTGAAGATTGAGAATAACTTTCCAGCAGTTCGGATTGGATAGCCAGGTGGTACCATTAGCCTTGAAATCCAAAGCGCAAACAAAGCCTAGTGCACAAGAATGTATACTAAAGTATATAAAAAGTGTAATTTGATTATTGCTTAACATATACACATATCAGATAAAAGAGAATAGGACAACCTAAAAAATAGATGTAAAAAAAAATAAGATATTCCTTCACACTAGATAACTGTAAACAATAAAAAAACTATTAACGTTAAAAATTTTCAATATTCTATCTAACAACATTTTATAACTCTCTTGACTGATTATCAATAACTTGAAACATTTTCCAGTGTAAAGAAGAGAAAAACAAAGTACACACTAACCGTTAAATTGAGTAGAATAGTATAAACTGCATAAAATATTATTGAAGCATAAGGCCAAAATGATATATATATATATATATATATATATATATATATATATATACTGTTAACTCAGTTATGAATAAAAACGACATTTCATGACGTATTAAAATACAACTACTTATATTTCTAGACCCTATTTTTTAATTAATGCTGAAATTGTCAGTACGGGTGTTGCAGAGATTATTAAGTTTTTGATTGAGATCATAAGCCAATTGATGTTAGACCACCATTGAGAACCTGGAAGCACTAGACGGCCGTTTCGTTCTATTGTGGAACTCCTCAGCAGTGCGCATCCACAATCCCGCTGGTGGGATTCGAACTCAGGGACTTCGGTCTCGTGCGAAAACTTAACCTACTGGATGATTACATATATGTTGTGCATATTGAGTCACATTAAAATTATGAGGGAATAAGAAACAGATTTACCGTTTCCATCATATGAACAGTAAAGAAAACAGTAACAATAAAACTACTATGAACACCATTTTGATAACATAAACAGAAGAAATTAAATAACAACAACAAAAATGATATAAAACGATTTATTTATTTATTGACGTACTTTTAGGACAATATTCTAAATTTTGATTTGCTGTCGATATTTCATTATCCAGAATAAAATTTGTCGTTAATTCATGATCATCTGTCGTTGTCAGTGGAGAAAATGGGAGATTTGAAGAGGAGCATATCAACCAATTCATATCTAATATATATGAATCTGTAGAACGTGGTTGACAAATCTGCTGATCATTTATGTGATTATTATTACTATTACCATTATTATTATTGTTGTTTGAATTCACTATACTATTAACAGACGTTTTATTGACAGTAATTCCATTGTTATTAGTGTCACTATTATCATGGCTTTCCATTACTTGGAATAAATCATGAGATTGTGTCAAACCAGCACTAGACCACACAGATATCCCGTGAACTGACCAATGAGACTGCTCCGGTAAAACAATAATATGATCACCTGAAGGCTAGAAAAAAGAATACATAGAAGTATTAGTAATAGTAACAATAATAACAATAATCTTAATATGTATAATATAAATAAAATAAGAAAAGGTATGAATAAAACCTTGATAAAAAAGCGCTATCTCAGGGTAAAATAAAAATGGTGGAGACTATCCATAAAACAGCAGGTATTATATTATTTAAAACAAGAATGGTCCATTGTGAACATGTGATTTACACATTTGTAGCTAGGTAAAAGCTATTATACTCGGTTTTGAACCAAACTTTATATGGATGTCAAAAACGAAGTGGTTGGATATTGATTTAAAGCACTACCTAAACTGTTGTCAGCCCTGTACTTCAACCTTCAAGTCATCGCACAACTAAGGGGTATCATATAAGCTTATATGGTTGATATTCACACAGGGTGCACCAATCTCAAGCAAACTCTTTATAAACAAGTGGTATAGTAAATTTCTACAACTGTAAAGGAACAATAAACAACTATTTACATGATCGCAAAGTTCTGAAAAGCTCTTATTTCATACTTCATGAATTTAATCGTAACCAATACTCCACTTGTCTAAAATTAATTCCCATTCGTGAACTTTATGAGAAGTATTTGCTATAAATTCACTAAAGTTAGTATCAATCAAAACCAGGGAGCACTGGATCGATGTTTCGTCTCAGAATCTATCAGTCATGTAATATCATTAGACTGCATACAACAGATGTTCATCGTGAAACTACAAACAATACAGGCGACAAATTAAGTAATTAGTAAATTATAAACTTACAGTATAAATTACTTTCTTCAGTTTTATTTCATGAAATCGGACCTTTTTCAGAGGATATGAAGGATTTTCAGTATCCCATAGACGCATTTCAGAATATTCACTGACTGTCACCATTTGATTGACATTCTGAGGCGACCAATCGAAATCACGAACGTGATCAGCTTGTACAGAGATGTACTGTTCTGGAACATTAGACTGAGTTTAAAATGCATAGGAAAAATGGTTAAAAATAGTTAACAAACCGTTTAAATAGTAAATTATTGTACGGAACATATTAACTGTATACAAACTAATACTGTACATAGGTATTCGGGTCTGCGAGACCAAACAACTCTGAACAAGTTCAAATTTTTACGCTTCAAAATAATGCAGAAAAAGTAAAACATAATGGAAAGCTAACAGGAACGATATAGGCTGTCAACGAAAAAGGAACCCATGTTAATGGAATATATACGACTTAGAAAATGAAAAGTGAACATATTTATGTCACTAGGTTTATTTTCGTTCACTGAGACCCACAGTTTACAACCTATATTTTTCATAACTATTTTGACAGATGCATTCCAAGTAAGGACCGGAGTCAGACAAGGCTGTCTACTCTCTCCCTTCCTCTTTCTTCTGCTGGTCGACTGGATTATGAAGACCTCGACATCTGAGGACAAACACGGAATACAATGGACAGCTCAGAATCAATTAGACGATTTGGACTTCGCAGATGACCTAGCCCTCCTATCACGTACACACGAACAGATGCAGACAAAGACAGCCAGTGTAGCAGCAGTCTCTGCATCAGTAGGCCTCAGCATACACAAAGGGAAAACTAAGGTCCTCAAATTCAAAGCGGAGAACAGCAATCCAATCACTCTTGATGGCGAAACTCTGGAAGATGTAGAATCGTTCACATACCTGGGAAGCATCATCGATGAACAAGAATGTTCAGATGAAGACGTAAAGGCGAGAATTGGCAAAACAAGAGCCGCTTTCCTACAATTGAAGAACATATGGAACTCAAACAAATTTCAATCAATATCGAAATCAGAATCTTCAATACGGACGTCAAGACAGTTCTACTGTATGGAGCTGAAACATAGAGAACCACTACAACCATCATCAAGAATGTACAAGTATTCATAAATAGCTGTCTATGCAAGATACTCAACATCCATTGGCCGGATACCGTCAGCAACAGCCTTCTGTGGGAGAGAACAAACCAGCTTCCAGCTGAAGAAGAAATTAGGAAAAGACGATGGAAATCGATAGGACATACATTACGCAAATCGTCAAACTGCATCACGAGGCAAGCTTTAACTTGGAATCCTGAAGCGAAGCGGAAAGGAGGAAGTCCAAAGAACACATTACGTCGGGAAATCGAGGCAGATATGAAAAGGATGAATAATAACTGGAAGGAGCAGGAAAGGATTCCCCAGGACAGGGTTGGATGGAGAATGCTGGTGAGCGGCCTATGTTCCTTCATAAGGAGTAATAGGCCTAAGTAAGTAAGTAAGGAAGTAAGGAAGTATTTTGTCATCCTTAAAATACTATCCAGTCTAGGAATTAGTGGTGTTATGGACTAACCAAATTCATTATGTTGAAGTAGACAGCGACTTGATACGCATTACAAACAATCTCTGCTTGTGAGGACTATCAACCTCACTGGTTGGATAAATTTCCTGTCTTCGCACCGAGCCTCAATACTATTCAATCAATAAATCCACCACAAAAGAGAAATCCTTCAGACACCTACGATCTAGCAGTCAATAGATATATCAACATAGAAGAATTTTTAAAATGAGATTTAAATAAAGCATTTCTGACTATATTTACCCGCAAATCCCAAGTACGAACACCCGATGAGTGACAGGTTGCAAATTTTTCACTTAAAAATCTATTCCACTTGACAATAATTGGTGAAGCTGAGAATACAAACAACAATAATTATCGAATTACTAAATTAACAAAATGTATCAAAATGTGTTAAACTTCATTGAGAAACATTCAGATGAAAGACAGAACGATCATTTAAACTTTGAACTCCTTATCAATATGTGTACACGACTGCGTACATGATAAATTCAGGACCTTGTTGTCTCGCATTAAATGTTATACCTTTAGGCTAATTATTGAAAATACAATGATCCAAATTTTCAACTTCCTTAAATTCATAATACAAAGTGACTATAATTCAGTGACACTTATGAACAATCGCTTTATTCATGTATTTGTTTAGTAGCAAATCTTGTAAGCGTAATTTATTTTAATTCATTTTCGTATTGGTTGTTTAAATCTTCCCATTGATGTTTAGAACTACAATTGATCAGTCTCTTATTGCCATATGTGCATCCTGTGAGGATTGCTTCGGTTTTGCCTTAAATCATAAGCATTATAAGCAGAAATTCAAACAACTAACACAAAAATGAATTGAAAGTTCATCCGATTGAACAAGCTAGTGGCTATCAAAATTCAGTAGCTAAGTGGATATTGCGATGCCCTTTGAAGTGAACAGTACTGGGTTCGAGTTCTAGAGTGAACATCATCTCTAGAATGAAGGTACATACAGTTGATAAGTCCCAAATAGGACGAAGCGTGCGCCCTAGATTCCACTGTTAGCCACCATCCATCTCTGCTTAGTAAATTATTTTTTTTACCGACTCCGTTTGTTCTTGTGACCTACATCCCAGAGAATGAGGAAGAACTTTACAGGGTAGTCAACATAGTCAATTCATGGTATTTCTATCTGAAATATCGATATATGTGAGTCTGCAAGCATAAACTATTCGTATGCTAATTTTCTAAATGATAATAAAGTTGATGATAAATAAAACCATTAGAAATTATACAGATTGCATGAATAGCTGCTTTCTCAGGAAAGTGATTTTATATTTTTTTGGTTATTCCTATTATATAATGTCCAGTTAATGATAAAATAAATAATATTCACTGGGATTGTCTCGAGTGATAAGTGTTCGGAAATGGCACTTTATTGTTTGATTCCATCAAATCTTTCAAAAACATAGTGGATCGAGTTGTCATTACCATTTACCAATACTCTTCTTGAATAAAACACAGCACATTATGTTTTCCAAACTAATCCGAATAGTTATGATGCAATCAGAATTCTAAAATGATTATAAATCAGTCAGTCTTTTTGAGGGTTGAAAGAGTTAAAATGCTTCGAATAAAAAACTGAACAAAGACGAATATAAGAATGTGAATTTTCGACAAAGCGAAACCTGTACAATACCTATATATTTTGTTCAAACAATATTTTTTAAACAGAATAGCTTGACAAAATAATAAGTTCATTTTATTAAAAGGCCTCTCATGATATATACAAAAGATCACAAATTACAACGATTATGTTAAACATCAACTAAATTGAACAGTAATTGAATTTCAAAATCTATGGTAGATAAACGAGTTAAGCAAATAAAGAAATTATATATTTGGACAGTTATTCGCGGAGATTATGTATTATTTAAAAATAATTTTCACTACAGTCGGGCGGTTAGTCCAAGTTGTCTAGCCACAGCAGTACGATGACATCAAATGAGCACGATAAGTAGCAAACGAATTGTAGTAACGTAGTTGAAATGATAACGAGAAAGACTGAACATTAGGAATATGGTACTAAAGGATAGAATGAAAAGGTACCTACGAAGGAATACTGAGACTCAAGATTTAGAGCACGATAACAAGCGGATGCATTTTCGATGCTCTGACCGGTTCTGATCCATGTTCCTTAAAATCTCTAACCTACTGGCCGTGGTTATCGCGATGAGACCAAACAGGTAATCCACATTTTCCACCATGGATCAGAACAACAGCCATCTTTTTTGTGGATTGATATTTGCTGGAGAACTAATTAAAATCAACTGATTCAACCTGGACAGGGATACCTCATATGCTTGCACATAAGAAGATAAAAATGTAGAAAACTGGATTCTGTTTCGCTGACACCCTCAACACAAAAGGTTCTGGGTGTGAAACAGTGAATGGTTCTGAGTTAATTTATGATTTTAATGAAATAAACATACAAATTTTCTAATCATATTCATATAATCATGGAATGTGTTCATTTTCGTATACGAAAATTTGATAATTACGTTTGAAAGGAAAAAAATCTCAGAAAAGAGCTGTTATCATTGTTATTATTATCAGTTATAATTATAATAAGCACCCATGTAGTATTAATTTTAAAAAAATGTAAGGAATGTTAAAAAAATGTGAAAATTAGTTAAACTCAGTAAGTTGAAACCTATGAATGTAAACTGATTTCGCATATCATAATTTTTCATTCCTTTACGTAATGTCTCATTGTTTTTAGCGAATATTGTAATTATAAATATTGATATGGACATTTCTAGCTAATCATGTATAAATAAATAATAGTTTTATTAATTAAATTATGGCTTGATAACGTGTATTAATTTGACTCGATGAGTATATAGTGAACTTTGAAATTCATTTTCTTTTATTATGGCATGTCATCATGTGATTACTTGCAGAAAAGTTAAAGAGGTAATTCCAGGAGTTCCAGTGAGAAGCTGTAATTAGATAAACTACGTCTTGCTGGATGTGAGACAAATATCAATAATAACAATGGATAATGGTCGTTTTGTACCTGTAATCGACTGGATTTATATACCTAAACCACTAAATACCAACTCATAGGTTTGAAAGTCAAGAGCCCAACGTAAGGCTTGAAGATTCTGGGTTCTATTATTAGTGTAGTTGTAGACGCGCAATTCTTAGTCCTCAATTAAGACGAAATAGTTGTTCATCCCTTTCTAGTTTTCAATGATTATCTAACTGAAGTGAGTTAATAATGTGATACTTCGAACTCAATCTTCATAACACTCTATAATGTCAATAGCTTAATTAATATGCATCGTAAGTGGTGTAATTCTACGTTATTTAAGCATGGTAAGTTTATCCTATTAAATTTATATATTTCACAGGTTGAAATCATGAGTCAGTTGAAGCTAGACCACCATTGAAAACCTGGAAGCACTGGACGGCCGTTTCGTCCTGGTATGGGACTCCTCAGCAGTGCGCATCCACGATCCCGCACCACGAGGGGCTCGAACCCAGGACCTACTGGCTTCGCGCGCGAGCACTTAACCACTAGACCACTGAGCCGGCATCCAATGGTGTTAATGTCTAACTTCAACTGACTCATGATTTCAACCTGTGAAATTTCTAAAAACTCTCCACAAAACCCATTCTGAAAATTTATATATCTTACGAAGGCGTACCTCTTTTGTAAAATAATAATACCGAATATTAATCATTAAGGATAGTAGCTTTAAATCTATTTATACATAAAACTACAATTTCATTGAATGTCCAGAAGTTCTATTGAATAAATATAAAAAAATCAAATTAGAAACTAAAAATAAAAGATGCAATTGAATCAAGAAAAAAAAATGAGATAGAAATAAAAAGAACTAACTTCAAAATAGAAATAAAAATAATGATAAATATGAATAATCGAAACAGGAATTTAATTTATGCATATAGATGATTCATCCACTCAATTTTTAGTGAACAAAATTCAAACAGATTTTTATACTGAATCAGAAAGAAAGAAAGAGAGAGAAGAACATTGTAGACAGGCAGATAGGCAGGCAAGTATGTAGGTAAAAAGAAGTTGGGAATAATCAGTAGACAACAACAACAAAAAAAATATAGCAAAATGAATTTCCAAAAGGAAAACATGGAAGGCAAAGATATAAGTGTAATAATTTGTTTATATGATACATGGGGGTCATATATTTCTCTTTATTATTGTTCTTTTTTTAAACAGAAATATTATTGTTTCACCTAATCATAATATTATATAAATGTTATCTTATTTCAATAATGATGTCTATTTCATTTTTCTCCATTATTATTATGAATAGTATGTAGAATTAGCAATAGTAATCTATAATAAAACAGAAACTAGTTTATACATGTTTCAAAGAGGTAAAAAGAAAGAAGAAAAAAAGGTGAACACATTTTTATCTGATGTCTCATTGTATAAAAGTAAAAACAACAACAACAATAAATTGCCTACAGAGAAAAGTATAATGAATTAAAGTAGCGTGAATAGAGAAATTGTAAAAAAAAAAACAACGAACAAACAAATAATTTATCTTTATCTCTTTTTATTCTGTAATATTCATGATATTAATGATAGTTTTATTATAGATTGTTTAAATAAACTGATAGTTGTAAAATTAAACAAACACAATATAAGTCAAGGTATTTCAACCTGTTAGTATTATACATTGAATAGAGTTAATTTCAAGTATGAGAATATAGTTTCCCAAAGAATTATGCTCTGGTTAATTAGATTTTTTTATCATTGATCATACTAATTAATCAAGACTTTTATTCAGTTTAATTAATGGATTATAGAACATGAAATCCTTCTGAATATAAGAAATGCAATATTAAAAGTACGAGAGCAAAGTGTCTTATATTACAGTGAGCACCATATAGAAGATTAAGATTACTATCGAAAAGTATTTTGTAAACCTCATGTGCTAGATAAGTACAGAAACAAGTTGAAATCGTTTTAAACTGGATGACGGTTTTCAACGACATCAAATAATAATATCTGAAATCTGTTTCAATTCTTAAAAAACTCCTTATTAAATTGAATAATGGATAAGTGATAGACTTACAAAGAGATTCCATAGATCGAACTGGTCGTGACATATCCCTTAAATCCCAAACACAAATGGCACGAAACTGATCTGCGGATGTAGTAGCTATAAGAAATGGATGAACTGGACTCCAATCCAGTGAATTGATCACACGAACATATCCACCCAGACTAGTGTTTGTACTTAATCGACATTCATTGACATCCCAAAGAAGAAGTTCACATTTATTAGAACGCTAAAGAAATATTGAGAAATCAAAGACACCAACATATTTAACAGTACACAAAGCATCTTAAGTAAACAGCCACAGATTTATGTAATCATGTATATAAAAAAATGTTCAGATATAAGCAGTGAAACAGTTTATTATGAAACGGTGACTTTATAGTATTACAGTTACTAATGGTCGTTACGTAGCTATGTAGAAAAGAACTATATAATTACAGTATATCTTTTTATAAATAAACACGAAAAACAAAAAATATTTGCCCAAACTTTTGAAAAAATAAGTTACGTCATTGGGAAATAGTTTAAATGATAAGCACATGGACCATTAAGGCGTTAGTCAATTATGGACAATTTAGGACTTGGGACGAATAAGTACTGATCCAGGTTGTAAAATCTCGTATAATAGAGATCAGAAATTAGTAAGATGAGAAGCGTAGTTTTTGGTGGAGTTTTGTTCTCTGAGCTGGATGGTTTGGTCGAGGAGCTTTCATAGTTATTCCGAACGACATCATCAGCACAAACTTCAGGTAGAAGTGAAGTGTTTGGAGAAGCATAGTAAAGGAATTAGTAACAAATGAAGTCAAAAACTAAGGACAAAATGTATGGTTTAAAAGGGGTAAATGAGGATGTAAGCATGGAATAACACTAAACTCAAGATTTAGGGAAAGATGGAGAACGGATGCAAATGCACCGCTGCTACAAGATTTAAGTCATATAACCAAATATATCCAACCAAAGATTACCTTGATCCTGAAAAGGCCAAATAAAAAATCTGCGCGTACCTAAGCGAGAAGTGACCAAATCCAAAACATAATATATGTTTCATATTACCGAGTATTCAAATTGACATTTGATAGTAAACAAAACACACAATAAACTATATGATTTAAAAAATTAGATAGAAGGTAAACAGCTATGACTTACTGCAATCGCAAGTTTTGTATGATCGTTTGGATGCCAAGCAAGTCCAGAGCATCCTAACTTTGAAGGTAAGGAAAATGCACTGTACTGTGAAGGATGTTTCAATGGGCATATTACAAGTTCATCAGTTCTAGATAATAAATAAAAACAACAAATAGTATTTGTACAACCTTACTAAAGTTATACGAATTTGTCATGGTTTAAACATAATTTGAACAATGAGGTTAAATTAGCAAAAGGTAATACAAATTCACACTCTATATTTCTTTATACATCACCATTGTCGATTTAATACAATGTGCTTTAAAAAATTACAAAACAACTGTACTCATTCATTGGGCAGTGAAAATCTTTCTTCAATTGTTACTTTTAATCACAATTAGTGAATAAAAGGAGTTAAATTTGTCAGCAGATAATTTAGTCCTAGCAGATTGTTTCATATTGAAACTAGAAAACAACCAATTTAACTCGGTAATCGATTGATCTAACCTGAACAAAAGATATAAAGACGACACTTTTATCATTTTCAACGAGAATATTGAATTAATTGACATTTTGAGTTCTTTCAATACATACTATACTTTCCTAGACTTTACTTTAGAAAATGAATCAGGCCATTTTATCTCACTTCATGATATGCTTCTGACAAAGTGTGATGAAACCTTAAAAAGGTTCATTTACAGAAAACAAACATGGAATGCCCAACTAACCAACTTCTATAGCTGTGTTCCATTAAGTAGAAAAAGAAACCTTATTCGGTACTTGTGTTACCAGATAAATACGATCTATGGTACTAAATGCACTGAAAACTTGAGTTTCTCAGAAAAACGATGGCCGAAGTCGGTTATCCAAGCCGCTTTGTAGAGAACACGAAGGAAATTCGGAGTAAGGAATCTGGAAATTCTGTCCCAAAGAAATATTTTTGCATGAATCCGGAATTTAAGGACGACCGATATTCTGATGCATTTGAAAATCGGCTATCGATAGATGTGCGATAAAGCTGAGACTAAAGTTTACTAGTAGAAATTTGTCTACCGTGTGCGTTAAGGTTAAGTTCCCACATCTAGTTGCTCCTATGTGCATCTACCAGTTCACTTGCTCTTGTGGAGCATGGTACATAGGTTGCAGCCAGCGCTCGCTTTTAACTCATACGATAACATGTTCCAGTGTGATTCTATAAAGGTGAAAGAAAAGAATTAAGAGTTCTGTTCAGGAATATTTAATCTTTAGTGGCCCTATATTTAAATGCCAAGTAAACTGGATAATGATTTTATCGATGGGCCCACCACTTTTAGTGTGGCTCTTTATCTGACTTCAATTAAATCGTATTATGATTGCCATAGAAATACACATCCCAGATACCCTCGGTATAATCATCGACTTCACTCGCGTTAGTGAATAACGGAATTGAAAGAGTCAAATACGAGGAGTGGTTTCGAATATGTATATTTCACACAATCGTTGATCCAGACAGACGATCAGAGAAATGAAGCGGAGAAAGCGAAGAGGAAGGAGAGAAGCGAAACGAAACGACGCTCAGAGGAGAAGGCAAGTGAGACAACCCAATTTTGATCAAGCGAGATTCAACATTTATATTCGGACAAAAATAAATTACAGACGCTTGATGAATAGGGTAAGTAATTAACACATATACGATCATATAAAAAAAGTCAGGATTAATAAGCGAATAAATGACAAGGTCAAAATGTAGCTTGAGAAGAATGAATAAGCTAGTTTGTCCAGACGTTCGAATAGCCTATGTGGGTTTGACATGATACCAGACACTACAAGTCGATCCTCGCTACGCCATTGATCCACAGGCTGATTATTTTTAGGTTGCTTATATAATTCGTCCATAACTACCAAGATTTCTTCATTCACAACTTCTTAAAACAACAGATCTTACCTTCCATGAAATGAAGACATAAATATATGCACAAAAAATGTACGTCCTGTTCTTAAATTTACTATGGCCTTAATCCATCATTATTATCACCTTTCACAAGCTAATAGCTATCAGGACTCAGTAGCTAAGTGGATATTGCGATGCCCCTTGAAGTGAACGGTACCAGGATGAACATCAATTCTGGGATGCAGGTACATACAGTTGATGAGTCCCAAATAGGACGAAGTGAGCTTTCTATATTCCACTGCTAGCCACTATCCATATCTGCTTATAATGCTTGTGAATCAAGGTAATATCGAGGAAATCCGCACAGGATTCACGTATGTCAATAAGACACTGATCAAATGCGGTCCTAAACATCAACGAGAAGATTTGAACAAACAATACAAAAATGAATTGTAATTATTATCTTTTTTCATTTCATATTAGAAAATATCCCCCTATGATTAATTATTTCTCACATTCTCATGACTCAATTCATAATTGTTTCAGACATCATTTCATTTAACCCCTCTATTACCTTTAATTATTGTAACGAAAACATTTTAATTATCTTATTCCATCCACATTATAATCCACTGTTAATGTATGAATAATACAAGGCATTTTATTTCCACACACAATCGTATCATTATTGGCACTAAGTAATCTAGTATTATAACTTTCCCATTATATATATATATATATATATATATATATATATATATATATATATATATATATATATATATATATATATATAACTCACCCACATAATGCAACACAACGTCCTATAGGATCAGCAGCAATTTGTGAGATCTATAATGATAATAATAATAATAATAATAATAATAATAATAATAATAATAATAATAATAATAATAATAATAATAATGGCGAAATACACAAGATTAATTAACATTTTGGAGCATTTAATTAAATATTAACATCCTATATACGAATGAAGCAGTTCTCAAGTTACATTTTGAGCACAAACACCTAAGATGTCATCAATAAACTTACACAAATGTAAACTTGTGTTAATTTAATTCGGCTATTTATCCACTCTGAAGAAGTGGCTTACATATTAAGTTACGAAACGTCAGAAATACAACTCTTCTACTCATTGGGTTATAGCAAAAAGTATATTTATAATCAGGAAATCTTATGTAAAAGATACAAGTGAGATCATCTCTGATCACTTTTTTATACCAATAATCTAGTAAGTAATGGTTTCTAAAGTAGATAGTGGTCGATTGTATATCAGTCGTCATAATTTACGCACATAGACGACATAATCAAATAATTTGCTGTTGTCACTTAAAAAGTTATACTTCGGAATATTCACCAAAAGTGATTATGTCCATCAAAGCGATCGCTTATCAAGTTACTTATGAAAGCTTATGAACAAGTCAGACTAATTTCAAATTGGTAACAAATAAAGAAGTCATTAGCAAATCATCTCAAGAGACAATAAAATATGACATACCTGGAACCCTTTTAATTCCAATAAACTTGTATTATGGTTAGTCTACAAATTGAGATAAACATATGCATATGTATTAAATATGTAACAAACTATAAATAAGATCTGAAAAATATATCACTAAAATGACTAAAAATATACAGAGAATAAACGTTAACTTGAACAATCGAACTAGCAATAGATCAGAATACCAGAAATTGAAGTTCATATCGGTAGAACAGTTAGTACAGATAAAGTTAAATTCAGCGAAAGTGACGATGAGTCATTTGTAGGACAGTCTCCAAGCTAAAATTCCAAGTTTATAACCTCTAATATTACTAGGTAGTCTGTATACACAAAGACAAACAATAGAACGGTTCAACGGTGCAGGTATTTACTTTTCATAAAATGAACTGATAAATTCAAATTTGATACACCAACTATTGCCCTACAAAAGTCCAATGGGGTTTTGGATGGAGACAGTAACACTTAAACTGTTTTTGGAGCTATAATAGGTTCATGCTAATTACTTTCTATCAATTTTTCATACATTCATCTATTACATAAAATCCCAACGTATATTACTGCTATATAAATATTAGGATGATTATTTCAGTCATTTGAATCATATACCAAGTACAGGTTTATGTGATTGCTAACGAACCATCATTTCCGTGTACAAAAGCTGATGATACTATATGGTTGAACGGATAAAAGTATATGGAATAGGATCCAGACCCGAGACCTATTTGTTAAATAGTAAGAAGCTACCACCCCACTAAGTTGATTTCTTGAAGCAAACTAAAACCACAGATAAACGTGCACGCAGCTGTTTCTAAGAACAATAACACGATATACAACTTAGTAGTTATTTATGAATTAATACACCTCACCCTATATGAATTAAAATAAAACACATAAGACTACGAAAGACTACAAGCCTAGATAAATTATTATGTATATAGTTCTATGAAGCGCCATTTTCAAACAAAGCTACCGTTTTATCAAGTTATAATAAGTACACCCACTCACTCGCATCATTTAGGACAATCTGAAATAACTTCCCATGACAAAAAAGCAAATAAAACTCAAGATATGACACAGACTAGCTACCAAAAATATCACAGTTGTGACTTAACTGGTGAATCAACATATGCACTTCTTTGAAAACACGAATAAATTGTAGACAGTATAATGGTGTCTTAAATGCTACATTCTTAAGCTTTTATTTAACACTTATAGTAAGTGGTAACAAATGAGGTGAAGTTGATTTGAATCAATCACGAAATGATAGACAATCGAGTACATGAACCACTACTAGACGACAGTTCCAAGTTTGAAAAAGTATAATTTAATACATAGGACCGTTAGAATACTGTGATAAACTGTCTAATAACATAACACATTTAACCAGATCCAATCTGTAATTACTGTCATATACATTACAATCTATAAAGGACGAACAAAAGTCAAGTTAACGGTAAGCAATAGAAGACACTAGCGCTAGAACTTTAAAATATCATATTCCTCTTATTAATAAGTCAGCAATCAGGGCATCAACAAAAATTCAAATAAGGCGCAAAACAATACAACATGGTGTGTATTAAGATAGCATTGTAATAACATTAGAACTATACATTTATGTATAAAAACTTTACAAATATATACGTATATGGGAAAAGTGAAAAACAAAAACAATAAACGACAATAGAGGAAGAACAAAGAAGATTATTAGTTGAGATCAATCATACTACATAAAATAATTTTGCATTATATTAAAAACAACAAAATATGATAAACAGGATCAAGTGTGTTTTGAGTAATAATAATAATAATAATAACAATAATAATAATAATAATAATAATAATAATAATGGTAAAAATAGTAATAGAAACTTCTGAAAAAAACCTGGTAGAGTGAAATAAACGAAGAATTTTTAACATTATAATTGGTAGCTAAACAATAAATATTCTAATTGGAGACCATAAATATGTGCACAGCACATTGCCTTCGTTGAATGTGAAATGTGAACAAAAACAAAGAGGAAAGTTAAAAATACAGAAATATAATACACCTACATGAATATTCACATATTTGACTTTTTAAAAAAAAATTGATAATATATGTACATTTACAACACGGTAAATATCGAATAATTAAAAAGTGTAATTGTTACAGTACGTGTATAAAGTATTAAAGGCACTAAAGAGTGACTTCCTTTATTGATAGATATTTCTTATTTGATACATACAACAACAAGATATGACAGGTTTGCATTAAATACATTTCATACATAGCAGACATTAGACCATATTTAGTGCATCATTTTAATATTTTAGTATTTGAAGTAGAATCTCTCGATGAAATATAATGATTAGTTACTTTCTTTAAAAAAACGGTAGTAAAGGAAACAAATTAGACAATTTTATACAATCAGAGTAAAAACTATCATCACACGAAAATAATTCCTAGAAAAAGAAACAAAACAGAAGAGAAATTAATTAGCTAGACATTTCTAAGGCAGTAGCTCCACTGCTATCTGTCATTGCACTGGTGTTTTTAGATTCTGTTGATAAACGTGGATGTGTCTGGGATATAGATACAGAGCAAGTAGAATCTTTATGATCTGGTGATGAATGTATTTTTGGTTCATCATCAGGAAAAGTGTAATGATTAGTAGAGATGCTACAATTGATATTACTGGAAAAAGAACTCTTATTGTAGACAACTTTTTCGTTTGCCATTATAGACTCTTCATACTCTTGTCCATTTTGCAGTCGCTGTTTACAATTAGACTTCGGTAATTCTTCAAATCGTTGACGTTTTTGTGGTTTTAAGTTTGCATCCAATTGACTAGAAAACTTCTTGAATCGTTTTGATGATTTTTTGGATTTTGTTACATTAGCGACATACTTGTCGCTGCCACTACGTAAGGAACGGTAACTAGTAGGAGACATTAAAGAGTTTATTTCTTTTGATATTCTACATTTTGACTGACAACCACGTGGAAGAGAGGATAAACCTATGCAATTACCGCGACTAGAACCACTAGTCAGTTTCTTTCGCTTTAAAGGTGACATAGAGGAAGCACAGCGTAGTCTATCTTCTCGGTGACTTCGGCGGCTCTGAGATGAACAAGATGAATTCAAAGAGACAGTTCGTAAAACGGACCGCCTGGATTGTTTGGTTTCACGAGAGCAGAGCTTCGGTTCTGTAGATAAGCTAGCTTTAGGAATGTTTTCTTCTTCTTCACACTCATCATCACCATCATGAGCGGCTTGTTCAGCCTCAAGAGCAGCTTGTTCTTTTTTTACATCAAACAGGCAAGGACCAATTGAGTTAGGTGGTGAGCTTGCTCTGCTTAGTGTGTTGCCTCCTGCAGAACTGGATGCAGGTGAGTACGATCTACAAGGGCGCATAGGCTCCTCAACTGGTGATGGACCAGATCTTGTCATACCAAAACTAGGCTTTGATGGATATTCGGAAATTTTAGGAGGCTTAATATCAATTGGATCGTTAAACTCGTACTCCGAAAGATGGTGTGGCCGTGGGTTAATAGGCACATTGGTCAGTGAGTCTGTTGACGATATATCATCGGCTAAAGTATTCGGGTTGGGTCCGAAACCCTGAAAAACAAAACGGAAACAATTAAATACGTAATACCAACGATTAATTATGAATAGTATACGATATCAAGGGTATAAATCAATATTAACAGTTAGAAATACCATAAGTCATACATTAGTCTACGACCCCATGGCCGAAACAAAGGGAAACTATTAACAAACAAAAACCTAATGAGGCGACAATTAGTACAATGTTTCAGGATTAAGAAAATCATCTGAAAACAGAGCCGAAGTACCAAAGACACCATTGCCTTACCCTAAAATATATTACGCAGATTTATGATGCTTAAGACAGCTATTAGTTTTTATATGTAAGGACGAGATAGTTGAAATTTCAAAACAAACAGTGTAAAAATATTGAATATCACAAAAAGGAGTGTCATTATGAGTTATCACACTTTGCAAGAACATACATTGAAAAAATCGATAAAACAGCGTTAAAGTAAGTAATAGACGATTGTTGCATAATAAGATACTCAGAGTATAAGAAAAAAGGTTGAGGAACTATACATATGAAGGGCTGTCATTGATTTAACGCAAACTACAAATCATCTAGCAAGCAAATACTAACACTAGCCCGACCCTGCGGTTTGTCTTTTCCAAAAGTTCTGTTCTGTTTAAATGGTCTGGCCGATTTTCTGGGTGATCAACAAGTAGGATTTTTGGTGTACTTCAAAAAATGCCATTCATAACTCTAATGAAACACTAAAAATCCACCTGTTGTCGACTCGAAAAGTATGTCCCATGTGAGCATAACCAAGGATTGAGTGTCAACGGGGTGCGAAGTCACACTTAACTTCAGTGAGGAGAAAGTCCTAACAGAGCAAGTTCTCATTACCGGTAGTTTATGTGCTGTAAGGTTAACAGGTTATATCAATGTGAAAAGAACTGACATCGGAAACTGCGCTATTTTGCAATCTACACCTATGCTTCGATAAACTACAGCTCGGATACAATAAAGAATAAATTACATTAACAATTACATGACCTCAAAAAAAATGTTCAACGGATATAATGGTGCTAGCTGGGGACTGAGTGTAAAGATCAGACAATTACGAACAAAGAGTCGTTCCGATAAACAATCAGGAGTTACTGGTTGTAGGTTAATTACCCATTTCTGGTCAGCCCCAACTTTCATGAGCCACTACCTGGCGTTTTCTCTCTCCTCTAATTAAGCCTGGACTCAAAGTGATCACGTTGCAACCACCAACTGGCGATGGTGTGGATGTGCAAAAGATTGTCAACTATTTTGAGGAAACTACTTAGACTCTGGTATGCTCCAGAATGCACTTGAGTCATCTGTACATTTTGATGATCGTCAAACTTATCATAGTAAATAGATTAATTTCAGGACATTGGCTGCACTTACGATTAGATTCAAACATCCAACACCGGTTTAATTATTTAATACCTGTTTCAAAAATGACGTCCTAGACGTTCTTATGCAGTACATTACTTAATAATCCTGAGTGAAGACAATTGGAAATTGGTACGTTTATGACTCGGTCTTATGAAACACAGGATATCTTTGTTAGGTAAGAACTCATTACTCTATCCCGAGTTCCTCAAAATGGTTTTAAAGACCATGCACACCAACGGTTTGAGATATCAGACATGCTCTAGAAAAGAATCCAGTGGATATACAGTTAGGAAGTTGGAAGAAATCAACTTGACACTCTGGACGTAAGTTTCGATTTAGGTGGCACTCATCAGTGACGGATATCTGAAGTCATGGTGGAAGTGATGCTTTTCGTGTGGTGATAAATAGCACTCCTCAGAGTCAAAATCTGGAGCGTTAACACTGGGCTCTAAGCACTGACTGGTTTCTCTCCCTCTAGTAGGGCTGAGATTATCACCTAGTATTTACCAATATACTAATGCTTTATTAGTTTTGTTTTATTATTCACAAAAGTAATAAACACTTTAACCGGACGTATTCTATCTTAGTTGTCTTCTTAATTGGACTGTATCTTTTTAGTAAATACTGTTTTTAAGTAACAACTTAAATCGATTAACATATGTTCCAGTTTTTACGTTGCGCATGACTGACTGGCTGATTAAAATATCATTCTTGATATTTATTGATTTTATTACCTCTCATTTTATTCTTGGTCTCCAATTATACCAAAGACTTGTATTCGTTATGAAATCATTTATTTATTTATTTATTTGGACACATGAATATTGGTACAAGAGAGCGCCAATATATATGCGCCACACAAAACAATGAAAATTCGAGAGGAATACAAAGAAAGAAAAGAAAAAAAAGCTAAGGAGCGCAACAAAAAAAAAGAGAGAACAATAACGAAGAGATTGGTGTAAGGTAATGTGCTAGTAATCAGGGAACGCAAAGGTACAATCGGAAGAAATCTTTCAGGTAAGGGAGAGAGAACCACTTTTTATGAAGAAAGTAAAAGAAGGTTACCGCACGATCGCCACTGGCTTCTATTCTGAGCCATATCTGATAACGTCTCTAGCCACTGTGTAGCACCATCTCTCAGACCCCAACCAGGGAGTCGTGAAGGACCAACACAAGCCAGTCCTTTGCAGCTTTCTTTCATGCCACGACACCATGTCATGCACTGACCACCTCTCCGCTTCTTCCAACCAGTCCCAGAGTCGGCAAATAATGCACGACTTGGAATTCTCTGGGACGACATTCGTACATTTCCAAACCACCGAAGTCGGTGTTCAAGATGGTGACACCAATTGGATTGTCGTCTCTGTGCCCGAACACACGATGCCGAACCTCTGCATTACTGACATGGTGTTGCCACTGAATGTCAGCAATCCTTCGGAGACAACGATGATCGAACACAGAGAGTCGTCTAACGTCCTCAACTCGGAGAGACCAGGTTTCACAAGCATAGAGCAAAACTGCTCTCACCGACGCATTGTAGATCCGACATTTTACAGCCAGACTAACATCACGAAGGTGCCAAAGATGGCCCAGATTGGCATAAGCCGCTCTGGCTTTCACTATACGTGCATTGATCTCATCACTCACACCCCCACCAGCACTTATGCAGCTACTCAGATACACGAACTTCTCGACTACGTCTATCTGCTCACCATCCAGGGTGAGTACAGGATTAGAATCCTGCCAGTCTTGTAGGAGTACTTTGCACTTTGAAGGTGCAAAGCACATGCCATATGTATTTTTTAAAATTTTATAATTAAAAGCTGGACTCTCGTAGAAGCGCCAGTAGTGATAGTTGGCTAGTCAAACTGAAGTGGATGAAGTCCTATTTAAGCTTGCGATTCAATATTTGGAAGTCGGAAACTCGGACTAAGAAATGATAATGTGAAGATAATCAGATTTGGCAATAACAATCAAAAGACGTTCAGTAACTGTCGTCATATGAAAATCATATACGAACTGTTTCGGAATAAATTCACACGACGGATTGTATTATAGATTTTGACAATTTTTCGTCAATCAGTTTATAGAAAGGGGGGTTAGGCATAACCGTGTTGTTACCACGCATCACAAAACGAGAGGCGAAGAGATAGAAAAGGAACAAACTTTATTGATTGAGACATCCAATTTTATTCGCATCGAACTGAGCAGTTCGAGTCCTCTTTAGGACATACTGACATTCAGGTTAATTAGACGAGGAAACATATACAAAGTGAGACCTAGCACGAATAAGCCCCGGCCCTAGTTTCCAGGCTTCCTGTCTGCAAAGCAGGACAAGACCAGCAGGGTGGGGAGCACAGATGGTAAAACCAACGGTGCTGGGAAGATAAACAGTTGTTGGGAAGGAATGCATAAGATAAGAGAATGAAAAGTGTGGAATAACACTAAACTTAAGATTGGTTGGAAGATAGAGTATGGATGAGACTGCATTAGTGCAACCAACGGTGTCGTGTCAGCCGGCGTCACCAACTATTCATTATGATTATTGCCCTAATCGCAACTAGGAGACAGACCTAATGTACTGATGTTATGTCTTGATGTGCAAACTATCTGCTTCTTTCTAGCCGACTCATGTACCAGTAAGGGTTACTCAGCGGGGAGTCAATTGTCAGTCAATTACAACGTAGAACCAGGCATATATATGCATCGGTCCAAGTTGCTATACCTCATTAACACTGCAAGACGAACACCGGATTCACAGCAGTTAACTCAATGGTGTAATATATAAAGGAAAGATTTTATGTAAGGATATAGTACAGAAAGAAAGAATTAGTTGGTAGAAAGAAAGATATAAAGCGATTTTAGTCTCACGGTTTAAGGGAAGACAAAGATTGTATACACCTACGCCATTGTGATCTATTCTGAGCCATGTCACTCAAAGTCTCCAACCATTGGTTACGATAATCACGCGGACCTCAACCAAGTAGTTTGCGCCTACCAACATGACTCAGACCAGAAGTTAGTGCCTTCAATGACTGATGCCACGTTCTGCTTTGGCTGCTCCTAACTTTTTTCCAACCATCTTCAACACTAGTCAGCGCTGTACGTCGTGGTAGTCGGTGTTTAGGCATACGTAAAACGTGGTCCAACAATCGCAGTCGATGAAGATTTACAAACTCATCAACTGATTTACCCTCATTCCCTAATACCCTGCGTCATTATTTATACTGACATTAAATCATGACATTTACGCAATTGTATAACTCATTGAATTATAATATTATTAACGTTATATTCCCGTCATGACACTAGTAACTCAATAAACTATTTTTTATTATTTAATGACGTAAATGTTTCCTTCTGAAAGTGAGTTTATTCTAACTTTGCGTGTCATTTTGCCTCATTATTACATACTCATCCACTTAGATGAGGTTGTTTTTGTGTTATCTTACCGAATACACTTTGCGATATCGTCTCCTATTATATTTGTGTATTCCATCAATTCTAATAAGCTTTTTTTCTCTAAGACCGATAATCTTCACTATGTTCCGAACCATCTGTCATAACAAAACCTCTACGAAACTAATTATTCATTTTTGTGGCTATATGGCTATATAGTACATTCATACATTCACACAAGTTGGAGTCAGATAAACATGCCGCTATGATTTGCAGTGAAGTAAACTAATCGTGACACAATAGTTTGGATTTAGGAGACAGATTAAATGTTGCTAGAGGTGTTCAAACAAAATCATGTCATCTGAGTAACTTATGTCGATGAGAGAGCCTGCATTTATGAGATTATCTGAAAAGTCAGAAGGGTGATTTACTTGTATTAGGATCCTCGAGACTAAATGGAAAAAAATCGTGAAAAATAGAGTCCTGGGTGATATAACTTAAATTCGCCAATTCGGCGTAAGCTCCGATATGAGCAGTTACTCGGATTAACAGGATTTAGATCAATGAAGTCCTTTACTTAGTTTTTCAATAACAAGTATTATAGAAGTGGATATTATGTTTAGATTAAGGATCATGACATGAGTAGTTTTAAAACGGCTTATTATAACTTGACTGGGACTAAGTAGTGGTCGGGTGGTCACCATCATATTTAATGGGCTAGAAGGTCGGAAGTAAGACATGAATGTATTTTAATTGGTTCATTAGACACATAGTTCAGTTTGTTAGTGAAAACTTCAAAATATACCTAAAAGAATGGCTTCAAGATATCATAATCTCGAGTTACTACAATAATTTATACATCCCTGAATCGATGCTTTAAAAAAACAATGATAGAGATTAAAGGAGTAAGAGATCAAACAGAGTGAAGACTAAAACGATAGACTCAAATCTTCAGGAGGTATGGTGACAGCTGACGCCTCATGATTACTAATACCAAGTGTTAAGATAATTAGTCTACCAGGTACAGATCTATATACTTGACATTCAGCTACGTGCTTTATTTGGAAAGTGAGTAGTTCCACAAGGTTTTCTAAACCAAAGACAAGGTGGGATTCCTATCCACAGATTGATATTAAATCAAACGCTTGAGTCTATATGGTAGCGCTGAACTTAAAATATGAATACTTACAGCCATTTACATGTGATCCCTTGTGAAAACCCAGTTTTCATTTTAAGATATAAGATCCGTACTCTTTAGATCTTATTTTATCCCTTCTTTCAACTGTAAAAAAGCAGTAGCTTTTAGGGTGCTATGTGTTATGTATACGGATTCTAAACTTCAAAATCGTCAGCAATATGCCTTTGCCCTTGGATATGAGATTACTTCCTTTACCAATTACTTGTACAACCAAATTAGTTTGTATGGAAAAGTGTGAGATAGTGTTTTAAACAAAGCGGGTAAGTAATCTTGACTGCCACAACTAAGATAATCTACAGCCACAAATCATACATATATATGAACATATGACACCAGCTAATGTATGTATTTAAAAGAAACTTTTGATACAACGGGGTTTCACACGTAATTTATTAGGAAACAAAGTGGATTAGTATTCTTAAGGTATTGGTCTAACTACGTCATTCAAGTTTGGGATAGAAACAGATATCAGTAAACATCACAAGATATACCTATATAGCCGGCGGGCACTATCAAGGTCATTTCAACGATGGAATAAGGTTGGCCATAAATTATAGTCTCACCAGGATGACACTTGCGAGCCTAGAAAGCCAGTGGACACGTGAACATCTAGTGTACTGTAATAAATAAAGTCGTTTCCTTAATTCAGATAATGAGAAATTAGAAATGTGGCCAGACAAGTCATGCATCCAGCGGATATAATGCAAACATGTCAACAACTGAGTGTCAACCTCATTATTATAAATATCGATACTTAACATAGTTATTGTAAATACGTAGTAGTTACGAACAAAATAGGTATGATTAACAAACAACACCAAAAAAGAGATAACGTGGAAAGAATCATAACATACTTGATGAGATGAGCAGTTAGAAGGAGCAGGACTTTCTGAAAAGCTCCTAACATTTGATTTTATTGATTTGGGTTGGAATTCAGTGATAATAACGCTATAGCCATTTGCGAAGATTTCGAAAAGTAATGGTGAGGATCGATCAAAGTGTTTCAACCGAAAGTTACTACACAAACCATAGAAGGCAACTTATCAAATACCTGGATACAGACTGCTTGCATTTAGATTCTCTTTTCTTTTTTTGTTCATCATCCTTTTCTTTTAGTATAGTTTGAGCAATTAACTGTTGCTGTTCTACTACCTGAGTATTCAATCTTGGTTTCCTGAATCGTCTTTTGTATCAAAACATAAACCATACCTTGTAGAAGTTCCTTTCCTGGTGTGACATATTTCACACTTATAAGATTCTTTGGGATTTATGTAGGTACATACACTACAATCCCATTTATCATCCTCGTCACTACGCAGTCTCCTATGAAGTCTAACAAATGCAAACAAAGTAATCAGTATTGGATACAAAATTCCCTTACCGATGAAACTCGCTTGTTTTTGCCTCCATCACACATAGAATCGGATTGAGTACCACTAGGAGTCGTCTTCAAGTTACCCGCACCAGGAGAAAACCTTGAAGTGAAGGTTGTTAAATGAAGATTGAAAACTACAGACTATGAAGATGATAAATAACTGTTATATTCATCTTTTACTCGATGACAGAAAATGAATGAATATTCAGGTGACCTGATTAATTAGCATGTCTTCAGTAATAAGGATAGTAGATTGGTGAACCTGTGTTAATCCTGACACATTGCTTTCCAGTGAAGGTCCAGCTTTTCCTTGAAAGTACTCACTGATGGGGCTGATACCACTTGTTCGGGTAAGGCGTTACAATGATTGACTACTCGATGAGAAAAACGGGATCCTACTTTAAGTTTATTAGATCGTGGTTTATGAACCTTCTTGCTATGACCTCGGAGATTATTAGTGCTGGAGGGAGCAAAAAGATAAGACATATTAACACCCAAATCATAATTAAAGATACGAAATGCCAGTATAAGGTCACCTCGTGTCCTACGATACGACAAGGGGAAAAGATATGGGATATAAAATTCGAAACGTTTCCTCGTCAAAAGATTTGAACGCTCTGCGACGTGACCATAACACACGAAAACCTTCGACAGCGGCTGCTTTGCAATGCGCAGTTGTTTTTAAGTCATGACTTAATATTACTCCTAAGTCCTTATGCTCTTGAACGCATGGAAGAGGTTTACCCTCAATAGTGTAACGGTAACTATTACCGTGACCGACGTGCATTAGCACACTCTTCCTAGCATTGATTTCTAAGCCCCACTCTCGAGCCCATCTAACTAAATCGTCTAAGTCAGCTTGAAGATCCAGCTGATCAGCCTCACTTTTTATTGTTCTCCAGATTTTTACGCCATCCGCAAACAATACTGTCGATGATCTATGCAACAGCGGTAACATTAACGTGGAGAAGGAAGAGCAGAGGGCCTCACATAGTGCCTTGTGGTACAACACTTTTGACCAGATTCCAATCGGAAAACGTCCCATTGACCCTCACTCTCTGTCTGCGGTCACATAAGAAAATGCCTATCCACTCCTGTACAGTACCTATTATTCCAAAGCTCGTGAGCTTCTACATAAGTCCCAAGTGTGAAACCTTGCCAAATGCTTTGCCAAAATCCATGAATATCACATCGACAGACAGACCTTTACCTAAGGCTGCTGTTTAATCCTCTCTCGCAATAAGTAAGTTAGTCAAGCATGAACGCCTGTTATGAAATCCACGTTGCTCAGGAGCTAACAGACTGTGTGAATCTATGTGGCTTAGCAACCTAACCTGAATTATCTTTTCAAGTAACGTAACGACAATGCTAGTTAGACTGACAGGCCGGTAGTTAGATACTATCTGTCTCTAACCATCCTTAAATATAGGAGTGACTATAGCGTCCTTTCAATCTCTAGGGAGTTGAGCAAGTGAAAGGGACATGTTGAAGAGTGTCGCGAGCGGTTTTGAAATAATGTCCGCAAGAGATGACAGCACCCGTGGATGTAACCCGTCAGGGCCCGGTATCTTACCACGTTTGAGGTTAGTTATCAACGGAAGGACAGTTTCCTCAGTCACCCGTACAGATTCAATGGTTGGTATCTCAGTGTGAGTGGGACAAGGTATTTGTTACAATAAACGTAGAGTACACTTCGCTAAAATAGTTTGAAAAAGTCTCAGCTTTTGCCCGATCTGATTCAGCTAGTAATTCTGAATTTTCGTGTAACAGTAACGGGGGAATACCATCACTACGTTTCATTCGCCGTTTAACATACGAAAACAATCGTTTCGGACAAGTACGGCTATCATATAAAAACTGTCGTTCGTAAGTAGTACGGCACTCAGCTATGGTTTTCTTACAAGTATCCTGGAATTTTCGGTACTCACGCTTAAATGATACATGACATGTCAACAAGAATAAGTCCCAGAAGTGTTTCCTACGCTTTAACAGCTTCCGGGTTTCCTTATTAATCCATGGAGGGCAATGTGATAGCTTACGTATTGACCATGGGATAAACGGTGATGTTACGGACTCGAGTGTGGCCTTCAGTCAGTCAGTCAGTCAGTCAGTCAGTCAGTCAGTCAGTAGCCTTAAACTTACTCCATTCGTCTTCCATCGATCCATCCGCATCGAACGATCGAGATAGCACAGTCTCTGATTGCAGGAATATTAGCTCGCTAGATATTGGGACGGGATGGATCAGATACAAATTGTATACCACGTGTCCGAAACTCAAAGTACAACGTGATCACTGTTTTGTAGTGTGCCAAGGTGCCAAATCCCGATAAAATCCTCACAGTGGCGTGTGAGGACAAGGTTTAGCAGCGACGGGTCGTAATAATCGCCAATATATAATGCAGAACACATGTAGGCTGGAGATGGGACAAAAGAGACAAGTTACAAAAGAATAACTACGCCTACAGTGCTGAGCGATGGCATTCGGTTAATTGAATCAATATTCCCGCGTTCTGCCTAGTTAACCTTCTCTTCATGTCAGTTGTTGAATATCAGTCTTTTCAGTGACTATTTGATCGGCTTCAGAGGTCGTGTTGTCAGATTCCTATGCCATAACAGGTTATCCATCTTTCCGCCGCGGTCAACAGGTTGACTATACAAGAGCGAACTCCTTTGAAAATTGGTGTGATGTGAGCCAGCTTCCAATTTTTGGTGATATCTCTCGGCTTAACAAATGACAGAACATCACGCTAAAAGGCAAAGTTGAATCTGCTTCCCTCAGTACAGCAGAACGAGCTATATCAGGACCAAGATACGCGTCCTTGTTTTTGTACTGAAGTCTCCGATACATCGTCAGTGCTTGGTTTCACTTCTGAGAGTCCTGTTAACTTGCGTTTGAATCTCTCATCAATAAAGCTAGTATGGGTCGGTTGAAAAATTTAAGAGCACTGTTGTGCCAGAGGTTTGGGGACGTCACCATTGGTTGGGCCCTTGGGACCTAGCAGTTGGGAAACTACGATTCTATTTTGTCGAAGAGAGGCTGCATGACGAAATAAGCTTATCGCATTAAAGACAAATTTATCTAGTACCGAAGCCTATCTTTTCTTATTGTCTTTATGCATATGTTCCTTAATTGTTTGAAGTTTCTGTATGCACTGTTGTTACCGGTTCGTTTGTATTCCTCCAAGTGGTGCGTTTTGCGGCTTAGCAATCGAGGGCTGCGATTTCTCAACAATATAGGTTAGTTGTAGATTTTTGGGACCATTTGCGGAACAGACCTATTTGTGACAAATAAGATAATGTGCAGTAAGAAACCCCAATGAGTGTCCTCGTCAGGTTGAGGGTCGTCTGCACAATCCACCTCGTATAGATTGTCCTTTTAGGTTGGCATATCCAACCTCCTTTAATTCCAACGCCTGTTGTGTGTAAGATGTTTTAGCTCAGTCCGTCAGATAAAGTTGAGAGCTTTGACGGCACGATCGCTTTGACTCAGGTGCGCCAATGGTGAGAGGTTGTCAACTAGGAAGTCTTCCTTAGCAAACACTCAGTCTAGGCGTGATGTTGTCTGACATTTTTTCTAACGAGTTGCTGACTTTACATTTTCGAATAAATAAAGGTTTTCAGTTAAGATGAAGAACCGAGATTCATCTCAAATGTATGTATGTTCAGAGAAATAAACTTTATGAAGACTGAAGTCTCCTAGAATCAGGATATGAGTGTATCTGAGACGATTGAAGCGGAGTAATCTCTTCAGGATACAATTGTCAAACTTGGTGTTCGCAGTAAGCTTCTTTTAGATTACTCCAAATAGACGTCTCGGGGTGTTAGACTGTCTTGTTGATCAGCATACAGACTCATCAGGGTTCACAAACCTTTGAGTGTACACTCGATATGCTACTTGGCAAAATCGCAGGTACAAGACTGGAATTAGTAATGATCCCTCCACTAAACAGCCCATAAGCATCTAAGTTTCATACGGTCACTAAATTGGTAGCAATGATTATTGTGGAAAAAATGGTTATCCTTAACTTAAAAAGAAAACAGCCCCTGATCACTACCTGTCACCAGACAATTGCGGAGAAATTTCCTAATCCTACGACCTCGATATCACGACCTGACAGCTGACTAGTTTGGTATGACCGTTTGTTAGAAAATCGGTTTGTTTTAAGCAAGGAAACGGAACCTCATGGTTGTGGTTGATTTCTCTAAGAATGGTATGATCATACTTTTCAGACTCTAAGAATTTTGACGTATGCTTTCCTGCTTAAGAAATTTTGACCGAATTTTCCAATAGTTTACCGACGATGTATTCAGAGGTCTTCACTTTTTGCGTGCATGATCATCTGATCACAAGTCAAAAAAGGAACTCATTCCCAACACACGGGCCTTGATTTTCAACGACTTCATAGGCTGAGCAGCCATGAACGTTGAGACACTACAAATCGTAGACGAACCACTCAATTTTCTCGGCCATGCGATTGATAATCGTGGTACTCGCGCTCCACCGAGTAAAGTGGAAGCTTCTCTGGATTAAACAGACATGACTACGACCAGGCAACTACATACATCCAACATACTGGCAAGCTTTTGTCGACGGTTCTTATCGAACTTCATATTATTAATGATATCACTAAAAAACTGACTTCGTGAACATACAAAAACCATCAAACCGTATGACGATGTTAAGGAAGCATCTTCTACAGTGAAAGACAATATTCTCATTTCCTCTGAGCTTGCATACCGAGACACTAAAGCATTGACTATTATCGCCATTGACGCATCCAAGTTGACAATCAAAGTCTTACGAAATTAGATAAAAGAAACGTCGAAACCCTTTGCATTCCTCTCGTAACAGTCATTAGACCCTGCGTTGAGACATGGTACTTATGACTAGAAGCTTAATGTCATATTCTATGCCGTACAGCACATTCAGAACTCCATGTTAGGCCAAGCAATTACTCTGTTCATGAGTCATATATCGCTTACTTGTCTTCAGACAGATACTCTTCTTTAGAGACCCGACTACTGAACTACATCTCACGGTTTACTTCCGATATCAAGCATACTTCTGAAGCAAACAAAATAGTCGTATTCGCCTAGTTTTACAAG